GGCTCGGGGTCACACAGGTGACTCGTGACAGCATCGCTTCTGGCCTACTGCCCTTTGATCTGTGCAAACACCGTGTCTGGCTGGGACCGAGATCCCTTGCCCACTCGCCCTGGCCCCCTGGTTGTGCGTGGAAGAGGGGCCGACCCTCCCAGACTGTGCCAGCGGGCCACGACGCCCTGCCAACCCCAGCTTTTCCTCTCCGCTGCCCGCCTCCCGCTGCTGCTCCGACTCCTCCACCTCCACCCGCCCCCTCCTCCCCTGACGTCACCGACTTCGCGCTTTGTGGGCCTGGGGAGGAAAGGCTGGCCTGAGCGAGGGCCTGGAGAGGAAAGCAGGGTGAAGGGTCTCTCGCCAGAACTTAACGCTGACAGCCCCTAGGAATGTAGAATGTCCTGTCTCCAGCATCGTCCATTTGATAGAACACCCTCTGAGGCAGGCTGATCAAAAACAGCTAGTAAGAGGCAGCACCAGGATTTTTCTTAAAAAACACAAAACAAAACAGGTCTTCTCGCTCCTGAGCTAGTGGTCCTCCATTTTGCTGTTCTCCTGGGAGTTTTGCAGAGAGCGAAGTGAGCAAATATGAGTGAGAGAGAGGGAGGGCCCCAGGAACACTCAGGAATTAAGAAGGGGTGTAGTAAGATCAAAATGGGGGTACAGAAAAAGCAAAGTCTTGAATCGTTCTTTCTTTTATGGGAATGGGGGAGGGACTGATTGGGAAGAACCACAAACAGACCTCCAAAGGTAATAGTAATGGTCTGTTTTGTAAGCTGAGCATTTGGTATATGAGAGTCTAAATTTCAAAATATTTTATTATTATTTTACCAACTGTATTCTTCCACGTGCATTAAAGACTCTTTTTAAAGTATGAATTAAACCATTTTTAAGTGAAAATGAAATAAGATTGCCCTGGGAACAGACAGAATGCAAAAGAAGGGGTCGAACCCACCCTAATTCTGGCTTAAAAGAAGTTGATGGATATTGGAAAAGATTTGGGGCATATAAGGAAAAGGAAACAAGGGTTCATGAAGAGAACAGCATGAGGAAGAGAAGACCTACAGAATTGGATGTCTGTAATGGTCATCGTTTTTCAAGGCCAGAGTAGCAATTTGCTGGAGAAGACAACCTAGCTTGGTCCTTACACCCGCACCTTACATCCATCATTCAGTCATCCATCCACAGACTGTTCATTCTCCTGGAAAATCCAAAGAACAAAACATGTCCCCTAACCTCAGACACTTGCCCTACTTTGGGATTTGAAAGCAAAGTATGATGCAGGATGTGGTGCAATATGCCAGACAAGCCTGCCACCCTCCTTCCCTTCCATATACATCTCTGAAAGGCGAACCCCATTTGGGTGCCCTGGGGCCACTTTGTGGCAGGGATAGGGGATTTGTAAAGCCTTCTCCCTGAGTTACAGGTTGTGCCTGGGGTACCTTCCGCGTTGGAGGCGACTGGCGTTCCAGAAAGTTGGTGGGCCTGGGGTAGAGAGAAACAGGGTCCATGGAAGAAGAACCAAAGATGAAGAACTTAGCGGGAGAAATAAAAGGGGTTTCTCCAGGCTGTGTCCATCTGAGCTCACCAAGCTAGGAAGGCAAACGGATTCAGGCATAAAGAGGAAGCATTTGGTTTGAAAGTCGAGTGTCGGAGTCACCCAGAGCTGGTTAAAGTGGGGACAGAACCAGCTCCAAAGCTCAAGGAACCCGCACAGGAGGGATGTGAGTTCCCTGTTCTGGGTGCGTTGGAAATATCGACACCAGCAGTGACATAGGCCCAGAGACAAGGGGTCCTATGGACAGGTCTTCCAGGGTATGGCTGGTGGGGGCGCTGTTCCCCAGAGTTTTATGTTGGGCACAGTGGGCTATGGGGGCGGGATGTGTGGATAACAGGTGTAGCTTTGGGTTTGAGATCCTGTACCCACAGGACTCAAAAATGGTTCTAGGACACATTCCTTGTCATTTATCTCCACTTCTAGGTTTTCACTTATCTGTCTCCATTTGTCATTTCGTGTGGGAAAGAGCATCCTTGTATGTATATATATATATTCAGTACTGCTGCTCGTTTCTGTACAAAAGGTTATTAGAAGAGGGATCACTGAGTTGCCACTGTCAGATGGCTGTCAGGTTCTCAGTCCCTCCAGCAGATGTGAGAGTGTCCCCAAAGCCTTGTGGATGGGGGACATTATTAGCTGCCTCTGTCTTCCTCACCTTCTCCCCCTCTCTGCCTTTTCCTCTTTCTCCTTCTTCACTGCCTTCTTTTTCTGACAGTCTTACGGACGACACGCATTGTATTTTCATTTGCCTGATTAGTGAGATTGACCATATTTTCATAAACTTATCAGCCATTTTGATTTCCTCTTCTGTGAATATCTTTCCTTAGGAGGATAGGATTTCAGTAGACAGAAAGATGTGGGAGAGGAAGCAGGAAATAAAGAGAATGGGAAGAGAATCTCACGTTTTGAAAGCAGGGCATGTCCAGGGAGGCCCAGCATTCTGGAAACTGCAGAGGGTTGGGTGGTGGGAGAGGGTGGGTGGCGGGAGATAGGGCTGGAGAAGTAAAGAGCACCCGGCCCTGGAGGCCTCGCCCCACCAGGCTGAGCTCAGACTTTCCCCTGCGGGCCAAGGTGAGGCCAGGAGATTCTGTTCTGGGAAATAAGCCCGTCGCTGCCTTCAGATACTGGTAACGGATGCCATGCCGGTGACTGAGAAACTGGATCCGTCTAGTCGAGGAATGAATTACTGAGGACCCGAACGAACGTAATGGCAGCATGACTGGAAGCCATGCACGACCTTAGCAGGACTTGTGACCAGCTGGGTTTGGAGAAGGTGGGAGAAGGGACACAGCTGGGACTCTGGTTATTTGCGGACACCGGGAGAAGCAGGGAAGGGACAAGCTCTCGCTGACCAGCTGTGTGCTGACTGTGTCTGCTCAGCAGTACTCCGGGGCAGAGGCCACCCTCTTTGACAGCTCGGGACATCAAGCTCCCGTGACTTACTGAAGAGGAGCGAGTCTGGAGGGAAAGCATAAACGTAGGGCCTCTTTGCTTTCAGAGGCCGCCACCAGTCAGAGAGTGTACCCTTTAAGCTGCTTAGTTGTGTCAGGACCCAGGGCCTTTTCGAAATCTATGGCCTGGGGAAGGCACAGTGCCTGTGCCACGGACTTTCCCAAGGGCCCATAGGCACACCTGAGGACTAAAAATAATTAGTATTGGCTCCAAAATACAAAAACTATAAAATCAGAACCAATAAAAACTTAATCTAGTGTTTGTAAAATCTAACGTTGGGTTAGGTGTTTTTTTTCTTGTTTATAAGACTTCTCCATTATGTGCATACTTCAATAGTTTACTCTGAACCAAATAATTATAAGCAAGTATACATATATATGTGCACGTATGGACATGTAAGCATGTACATAGATATAATAAATAATCGAATGCCCATATGTATGATAAATCATCGAAAGGCACTTAACCCTTAACCCCCAGGACAACCTCAGGTGGCAGTGCTGTCATCCCTACTTAATGAATGAGAAAAACAGGTCGAGATGAGTCACCCAGTCTTGGTGACAGTAAAGCTGAGGTTCAGCCCCAGACAGAGGCTGACTCCAGGGCCGAGTGCGTAACCGCTTCTCCACACTGCCTCGGGGGTGAGCACCTTCTCCGACAAAAGAAACAGAAACGAGATAAGGGCCAAAGCTAGAAATGTAAGGATTTTCAGAAGAGGTAATGGAAGGATAGGAAGTAAATGGTTCAAGAGGTGGCAGATGATGATGTTGGCTCAGGCCATAAGGTTAGAGGTGGCGGGAGCCTCGGGGACAGCGAGAGAAGCACTGTCCAGAGCCACCGAGTGGAGTGGTTGGCGAGGATGACAAGCCCTGGAAGTCCCAAGTACGAAAACGTGTCTGTCCTTGGGGGAACCATTTCGGTAAAGTGCACGTAGTGGAGATCAGACTGTAGAGCATCCTTAAGTGGGGAACTTGTGGAGAAAAAGCAGAGGATTTTTGTGGGTACACATCCTTTCTCCGCTGTGTCCAGGTGCAGCTAAGAATCTGCTATAAGTTCACAATTCATCTTTTGCCTCTGGTTGTCTGGGAGCTGGATTCGAGCCGCAGTGGACCTCTGCTTTCCTCTCCCCAGCCTGTGACTATGACCCAAGAACCTTTTCTGAGGTCCCAGAATTTTCAGACTGAAATTCTGGGTTCCCCAAGCTGGGTTGAGTCAGCTCATTGTGGAGCTGAGTAGGGTAAAGTGGGGGTGAGGGGACATGCTGCATTGTATTTAGTTTCCAGGGGACATCATAACAAATTACCACAAACTGGGTGGCTTCAAACAACAGAACTTTATTCTCTCCCAGTTCTGGAGGCTTAGGAGTTTGAAATCTAGCTGTTGGCAAGGCTGGTTCTTTCCAGAAGTTCTGAAGGAGAACCTGTTCCATCCCTCTCTCTCCTGGTGTTTGCCAGCATCTGCGGCGTGCCCTGGTTTGTAGATGCAACGCTCCAGTCTCCGGCTCCCTCTTCTCATAACATTCTGCCCTGTGTATCCGAGTCTGTGTCCAAATTTCCTCTTAGAAGGACACCAGTCATTAGATTAGGGACCCCTCAAATCCGGTATGACCTCCCTTTACCTCGATGACATCTGCGAATGTGACCTGTTTCCAAATGAGGTCACATTCACTGGGGGTTAAGACTTACACATGTCTCTCTGGGAACACAATTCTGCCCTCATTCTTCACTTGCATTTGTTTCCTTTGATGATGGAAAAGCACCGAGCTCTTTTAGTTTGGCCAGAAGCGTTTAAGAGAACGGGGTACAACGGGGCCTCCCGGATGGGAGGCACTGACTCTCCCGCTGAATGCCCGAGGCATTTCACAATGTCGGTCTCATCCGGGTAACCAGAAGAATTGCCCCAGCCAGCCAGCGGAGGAATGAACTGCTTGGCTTGCTATATCTGTTTGTTTGTTTAATCCAGTCTTCATCAAGCTGAGTCTTTGCTCTCTTCTTTGCAGAAGTCAGTCCAGCCATGGCGACTCCCTCTGCTGCCTTCGAGGCCCTTATGAACGGAGTAACAAGCTGGGATGTCCCCGAAGATGCCATCCCATGTGAACTGCTTCTTATCGGAGAGGCCTCCTTCCCAGTGATGGTGAATGACATGGGCCAGGTCCTCATTGCTGCGTCCTCGTACGGCCGAGGCCGCCTGGTGGTGGTGTCCCACGAGGACTACTTGGTGGAAGCCCAGCTCACTCCCTTTCTCCTCAATGCAGTGGGGTGGCTCTGTTCCTCCCCTGGGGCGCCCGTTGGTGTACACCCATCCCTGGCACCTCTGGCCAAAATCCTCGAGGGCTCTGGGGTGGAGGCGAAGATTGAGCCGGAAGTGAAAGACTCCCTGGGAGTTTACTGTATTGATGCCTACAACGAAACCATGACTGAAAAGTTGGTCAAGTTCATGAAACGTGGAGGGGGCTTGCTCATTGGAGGCCAAGCCTGGGATTGGGCCAACCAAGGCGATGATGAAAGAGTTCTCTTCACGTTCCCTGGGAACCTCGTGACCAGCGTGGCCGGCGTGCACTTCACTGACAACAAAGGAGACACTAGTTTCTTTAAAGTGTCTAAGAAGATGCCCAAGACCCCAGTCTTGGTTAGGTAAGTGCTCTAACCAGCTCTAACCAGGTGAGAGAGCAGACCTGGCTCTTGTCTGCCGGTTATCCCGCTAACAGAAAAGAATTTGGCACTCAGACGTGGATTCACCATAAATCGACCTGATTTTAAAAATACCCTGAGGCACAGGAGGGGCAGGGTCTAGTGTCTGCTGCCCCCACTTAGCTCTCTGACGGAAGAAACTTAGTGACCCTTATGTCCCTCAGTGTCTAGATTGGATGGATGAATGAGAGAGATTAGAAGCTGGAAGTCCCAGGAGTAGAAAAGGTACATCAGGCCATGCCCTATATTGTACATTAAAGCTCTCTGCATTCCTTGGAGCAAAAAAGCAGTGGTATTTCTGAGCACTGGAAGCAGAGTAAGGTAGAACTGGGTGAGGAGGGCACAGCAGGGTTAGCAGAGAGACATAGGGAATGGCCAGTGGCCTCCCCTTGGCATGGAACTCCCGGAATACCCCACAGCTCCATTCTCGCATGTGCAATGAGGAGACACACAGTTACTCAGGGGCATAGCGTTTGAGCAAGTTGATCAAACTTCAGCTTACCCCAATCACCTTCATCCTAAGGAACAGGAAGGTAAGACTGGCCATGATTCTATTTCTTAACAGCTTAATCTCTTTTAGTTGCCTTAAAAGACGTTTTTCTCCACCAAAACTATGCCTCTTTTTTCACTGGCTATGCCTAAATCATCTCCCATCATCAATGATTCCGAATTTTGGGGGTGATTGGGTTGTATGTGTTTGTATACGTGTGTATGTGCACACACATGTGAAATCAACTTGAAGGCTAATGCTTGAGGAAAAATCAGACTTAATAAGGGAAGTATATAGAATCTACTGTGAAGATTGTGGGTTACTAGTATTGGTTATTTACTAGATAAGATTGTATCACAACTCTTGACTGTTCGTACAGGTAGGTATATCATAGCATTACTCACATGTGAGCCGGGTAATTTTTTGACTCGTGGATGGATTGAAGATGGCAATAGTGTTGTTCCTGAGCTAACTGACTGAGATGCAGTAAGAAGAAAGTAAAAGGTACGCGACGGTGTGTGTGTGTGCGCACGCACACACACAGAGACACGCGAAATGCTGATCGAATGCAGAGGTTGAGATGAGTGGGGGAAAAGAGAAAACAACCTCTTCCCCTCCTTACCCTGCAGTGTTCTTAATGTTAGTGCTCAGGTGCCCAACACTGAAAGCTACACACCAAGCTCTCTCTCTCCCACCTGGTGTTGTGGGAGAGAAACTATACATATTTATCAAAAGTCATTAATTGTACACTTAAATCAAGTTATGTAAATTAAACTTTTATGTAAATTAAACCTCAATAAATCTTTAAAAATAGGTTCTTTTAATAGAAATTTAAAATATAAAGAAATAATCAGATTCATATACAAGTATGAGCAATTCATCATTCTAATAGGGAAGAGTAGAATGGTTAAATAAATTATAGAATTATTAATGAACCATTACAAATATTATGTTTCCAAGAATATTTAAGGGCCTGGGGAAAATCTTTGGGGGCACTATTAACTGAAATAAAGTAGTGTGCTAACCTGTTGTTCACTACATTCCCAATTGTGCTCAAAAAATATAGCTATATTTAGAAAATGTTACATAAGAAAAAAGCCAAAATATCACTAATGGGTAGATATCTGGAGTGTAGAATAATGGTAGGTGATTTTTACTTTTAAATTCTTATTTCCCAAACTTCTTATCGAATTTGACTAATAAGGTATATATTTCATTACCTCACTTCACATGCAAGAAATTGAAAGACAAGAAAAATAATTCAGAAGTCACATTAAAGATCTTCTACATCTGTATAACACATAAGCACTTTTATTATCTAAAAAGAAAATATAAAACAATTTTCTAATAGTTTTTTTCCTTTCCTTTCTAATATCTGATATACATAGATACATGTGTGTCTAATATATGTATTTATGTGTATGTGGTATTATATATACTATATGATATATATGTGTGTGTGCTATTATATAATTATGGTATATATGTGTATATGGTATATGTAATATGTGGTATATGTGTGTATTATATATAATATATAGTATTATATATAATATATGGTATATGTATGTGTGTATGGTATTGCCAATACTTTTGAATTATGTTCTTCATGGAGTATTTTTTTTTAAACTACTTTTTAAATGTTGCTGGATCTCTTACTTTTTAAAATTTCGTTTTAAAAAGTATTAAATCATAAACCCACAATACAATTCTTTTCCCCTTTGCATATTATTTTCCCCATTCATTCATAATTATACATTGTTGTCATCTTACTATACATGCTATTTTGAATTCTGCTCATATGATTTTTCATTCTATATAACCTTTAAAATTATGTTTGATTCACTCTATACAAATGCAGCATGTGTGCCCTATTTATTTAATCATTGCCTACTGTTGAGCCTTTCTCCACTCGTTATACTGTACAAAATACCTTCAAAGCATTTTAGAAATACTAGACACTACAGGACACTAAGATGCTTCCGTTAGAATTCGAGAAGGAAGATTGTTTCCATCACAGGCTGAGTGAGGTTCAGATTGAAGGCCCCTTGCGGGTTTAGTTACTCTGCCAAAGTGTCCTGTTATTTATTTTTAAACCCTCATTTGAGCATGTAAGTGTGAATTAAGCTTTAATCTTATTACTTTCACATTTCTTGCTAAATTCTTGCTAAATTCTAAACAAGAAGGCTGGATCCTCTCAGCCTTCTAAAAGAGTGTCCACAGGTCTTTAATAAGATGAATCGAATTTTTATCAGAAGATGAATCACATTTTTATCAGAAGAAGTTACTACTTTTATGTTCAGAAAAATTAAACCCTAAGTAATAAAAACAGGTGATCAACTTTTAGTCTGGTGAGAGTACCCACAGAAGGCAGGACGCAAGCCTCGTCGTCACTGCCCTGCCTTCCCGCCTGGAAAGCGTCACGATCTGCATTTAGAACGCCAGCCTCCACCTCCAAAGCCACCTGTTGTCTGTTCCCTGAGCAGCTTCTTTCCCGTCAGCTTTCTCCTCAGTGGCCCCTGCCGCACCTCCAGCTCCGACAGCAGTGGCTGCTGTACTTCATGTACAGACCTGGTCCCACCATCTTTCTATTAAGTATCTCATAGGGACAAACACTGGGTATATTGTCATAAACTACTCACAGCCCCATTGCGGGACTCAGGATTCCAGTAAAAGATTCCATGTGTCCTGGAAAATGCACAGAGTTTAGAGAAGGCAGACTTTAGTAAATTCCCAAACTCTGTCTGGAGCTTGCTCTAAAATCATAGTTACCCTCCGTGAGTCTCATCTCTGTCTCTAAAGTGGGATGAATGTCTGGCCTTCAGGGTGGTTGTGAGGATTAAATGAATTAAGAAACATGCTCAGAGAATCTAAAACACTTGAATTATTTTGACTTCCTATCTCCATGCTATGGTACGTAAGCACACGATGTCCTAAATAAATATCACTCCCAACCATTGAAATTGACCTGGCATCCATCATTATACTGCTTTGCCCCAAGTCATGTATGTTGTTCCAGTTGTATAAGGTATTGACATTTTAGCTGATATTTTTTCCTACTTCCTCCACAAAACTGAGATAGTGTCACAATGATCAATTGACATCAGTTGACATTTCACCTTCTTTATACCCTTAACAAAGCAGATACTAGAGACTGAATTGGCTCCACCAGAAAAAGGTTTGATGCAGATTAAACATATTAGATAACCAGTCTTAGGGAGGTTTCAGGAGAATCAACCAAAATAGTTTGTCTGCTCTGCCTTTCAGATAAGAAGGCCCTTGTCTCATTTTAACCCAAATCTCAGGCTTCTATTAAAGAGTTCTAACTCTATGTTACAATGATTTAGTTACATTTTTTGAGTGTATTCTGTATCCCAGGCATTATTTCTCTTTTCAAGAAAATGATTTCCAAAGATCTGAGAATTAGGAGCCAGAAACATCTCCAATTACCAGACCTGGAAGAAACCACAAAAACCACATCATCTTTTAGGCAGAGGGCTGTGTTGATATGTTTCAATAGAACATGGAACCCAGGCTTCACTGCCGCTAACCGCACAGTGTGACCTCAGCATGTCCTGTCAACTTTCTTGTTCCCTTTAAGTGGAAAACATTGGAGTAGAAGGTCCTTGTCCCCATTTTAGCTTTTACGTCATTGAGACTGCAGTTTTCAGCCTACAGTGATGCCTCTATACTCAGTCATCGAAAATACATAGAAACGAAAATACATAGAAAATACATAGATTGGTGTACAAATGGTCATGCTGTGAAATGTCCAAATGCTCCCAGTATGTTAGCTTGAAAACACCCCTGTCGAACCTGAATTAACAAACATTATAAATAGATGCTACATATCTGAAAGATGCTGAAAGGATGTTACACACACACACACACACACACACACACACACACACACACACACACACACACACACACACACACACACACACACCCACACACAGAGTCATTTTGAATTCCGGATTATTAAGAATTCAGTATTTTGAAAATTTAAGTATCTGCTTGAAGTTAGCGCAGATCAAACAAGAAAACTGCCAAATTGCTGAAGGTAAACATGAACAGACTCCCCGCAGTGTTTGTAAAACAAAAATATCTGAGCAGACTTTAATAAGCGTATTTATAACAAGAGTCCACAAGTCCCTGCAGGTCATTGCTAGTTTGTTGTGTGTCAGGACTGTACAGAATGCCGATTATTGAGTTGATGTCAGATCGTGGCCGGACGTGGTGCGCTGAGTATACTTTCCTAACTAGTGTTCTGTGCTTCTTACTATATTCCTAGCCATGTACAGTCAACTTGTGTTAACTGATTTTCACACAATGAACTAGAAGCTTTTAGCGAGTGAATGCAACTGGGATGATATGCCACCATAGAAGAGAAATTGCTAAGTCTCAATTTAGTTTTCTTTTCCTTTTTATGAACATTTTTTAATTTCAAAATATATGTTTTTTAGGGAAAAAAATGAAATAATCCAGAAGTAGACAAAGTAAAAAGTGAAAGATATTCATCCTCCACCTCTCTTTCTGCCTCTTGCTAATTCCGTTCTTCCCAGAGACGATCACTGCTAAGTTTGGAATATGTCTTTTCTGACGTTTTCCTACATTCTTCTGTATGTCTTAGGGTTGGAGTGGGAGAGCTGGAAGACTAGAGGGAAAGACAGAGATCTGCAGCTTGCTTTCTCACTTAATATGTCTTGAACATGTTTCCGTACGTGTGTAAAAAGATGTTCATCATCTTTTGGAATGGCTACAGAGTGTTTCCCGGTTGGAAGGTTCCATAAGTCATTTAAACTTCATGTGCTAGGATACGTTAAGGTTATTTTCTAATTTTTTCTCTTATAAATCATGATACAGTGAATATTTTCCCACTAAAACTTACTCATTTTAAATACTTGACAGTTTCCTGTTAGAAACATCTTGAATTGGAAATCTTCAGACATGTACAGAGATAGAAAATAGAGCAACGAACAAACATATACCCATCACCCAGGGACCTCAGTCATCAACTCCTGCCTAACTGATATCGACTCTATACGCCACCCACTCTCCCTTCTAGTTTCATTTGAAGCAGGTCCCTGTCATGGCATCATTTATCCACAAAATTGTGTATCTCTAAAAGATAAAGACTAATTTTTAAATATAACCACAATACTATAAACACATTTTTTAAACAGCATCATTTTTTCTGACCTAACAAAATGTCAATAGCAATATCGTTTTTTGAGAACACTTTGTAAATATCCGGGGGGGTTCTGTACATAGCTTTATAGTTATCCCTTAGATCAACTGGATTAGTCATGTTTTTTTATGAATTACTTAATTTTTATATGCTTGATCTAAAAGAGATTTCTAAAACAATTGCTTCATACCCCCCACTGTGCTTTTGGGACTGAATTTGGCATTTACTGTATATATTTCAAAGTTATATTTTAGATTTCTAAAAACATAGGAAATCTTTTATGGTTTGTACATTTTTGTCAATATAAAATATCTGTTCTTGCAACTAATATTTTTCACTCTATTTTGTCTAATATTATAATTACTATTCCTATTTTATTTGTTTGCTTTATCGATCCTTTTTTAAAAGACTTATCTTTTAAAAAGAATTATCTCTCAGCATCAGTCTTATTGTTTAAACCCAATCAGAGAGACTCTAGAAAAAAATTCATTTATATAATTGATAAAATTGGTGTTTCAGTTACTATCATCTGGGGAGAGAGTGGACAGGGTATAGAATTGTTACACTTTCTTGTTGCTTTTTTTAAATGTTATGCTCGATTGGTTGAGTTTCTTTTTCCCTTCTCCCCATTTTAAAATTACACATAGTTTTCTATTCTTTCAAAGTTACCTTTAATTGTTTTTCAACTCTTTATTTAAATTTTTCACATGGGAAAGTTGCAAGAATAATATAATGATGACTGTACACTTTCCCTAAATTCACCAGAGTTTAGATTTTGTCACATGTGTTATATAAACATGCAGGGACAGATTATTTTTCCTAACCATTTGAGAAAAACTTTTACACACCATGATACTTGACACTTAAATACTTCAGCATATATCTCCTAAAGACAATGCCATTCTCCAGCTTAACACTAATGTCCATATTCAGATCTCTCCAATTGTCCTAACAATATCTTAAAAAATGTACAGGTTCCAATCAAAATAGTTCTCAGCTTTTATTTTTCAAGACATCAGCATTTTTGAAGTATCCAGCCCAGCTATTTCATGGAATACCCCTCAGTTTGGATTTGTCTAATTGTTTCCTCATGATTACACTCAGTTCAAACATTTTTGGCAAGAATACTACATAAGTGACATTGCGTTCATCACAGTATCAGATTGGGAGGACGTGAGGTCAGTTTATAAACTGTTGGCAATTTTTGAATTGGTCATTTAGTTAAACTTGAGTTTGCCACATTTTCCTATTGTACTAGTGCCTTTCACCCCTTTTTAACTTATTTAGTCTACGTGACAATTTGAGACTATTCATATCCTATTCACCAACAGCGCTTCATCCGCTGGTTTTGTGATCTTGATGATCTTTGCGTTAGTCAATATTTATAAAAATGCTTACTTCTACCACTTGGATAGCTTCCTGTACTACTTTTCTTAAAGATTCATGTCAAGTATCACCTCCTCCAGAAACTGTCCCTGCCACCTCTCCTATTCCAATATAGATGGCTCTCTTCTGTGTTCCCATAGCAACCTGACACTAGGACTGACCCCAGCAGAGTTTCTGGGATGCAACCCTAGAATTGGTTGCATCCTTCTGTCACAAGGTGCCTTCTCTTCCCACCTTCACATTTGTTGTTGGTTTTGTGGTGGTTTTTAAATTTTGTTTGTCTTAGCATCACTATGTACTCATAGACCCTTTGTTTTTTTAAATCAAATGTGTTGTAATTCATTTCTAGCTGGTATTTTCGAAGGTCCATTGTTTCAAATTTGGCAAGTAGAAGCCCCACTGAGCTGACTCCTGAGTCCTTTGACACGTCCCATCAGTTTTTTAACACTTAATTTCTGGCACAACAAGAAGAGCAGGTTTACCTTGTCCTTTTCCAGTCCAAAACCTGGGTTCAGCTGCTTCTTCGAGGAATCCTGGTTCCTTTAGCGTGAATGGTATTGGAAGCCAAACCCATCTAGGTATGCTCATTGCTGTTGGACTGTCTTCTTTCTGGACTCCTAAGAAGACACAGCCAGGAAATATATATCTTTTAATCATAAGTCCGTACCGATATCCCGAATTTTAATCCAGAAGCACAGGATTCTTCTCCTTCACTAATACCATATTTCTGTCTTTCTTCTCCCATAGTGAGAATACTGGCTTCCAACAACTTCAGTATGTGTTTGTTTGCTCAGTCCTACAGTGCATAGGAAATAACTCCATGCTGTTACCAAGAGCAGATTTACAAAGTTAAGATCAAATTTTTTTTGTAGTCTTTTTTTTTTTTTGGTTGTTCTCTGAATATACTACATGAAGCATAGAAAGTTTAAGTACTCTGTTCAAAAATTACTTAGATTTTTTTTTTCATTTGGCCTTATTTTTGTTTAGAGTTTTCCCTCATATTTGTTGTTTTAATTTTAATTTTTGAATGGGTAAACTATTAGCATGGTTATGACAGCAGAATGCATATTCTTTTTAAGTGCACACAAAACATCTATGAAGCAAGACTATATGTTGTACCATACAATGTCTCAACAAAATTAAAAGGTTTGAAATCATACATAGTATGTTCTGATCACAATGGTATTAAATTAGAAATCAATAACATTAACAGATCTGGAATATCTCAATATTTATAATTTAAAAAACACAAATACTCCAAGTAAATAAGAAATTATGTAGGAAATTAGAAAATATTTTGAACTGAATAAAAATGAAAACAATATGTCAAAATTTCTGAACTGCAGTTAAAACAGTGCTTAGAGGGAAATTTAAATGCTTTTATTAGAAAAGTGAAAATTTCAACTCAGTGTCCTAAGTTTCTACATCAAGAAGCTAAAGAAAGGAAAATCAAATAAAACCCAAAATATTTGGAAGGAATAAGAAGATAATAAAGATGAAAGGAGAAACGAAATTGGAAAGAGAAAAATAGTAGAGAAAACAAAACCAAAAGCTGGCTAGTCAGAAAAAAAATAAAAGTGATAAATATCTAGGTTCAGATTATCACAATAAAAGAGATGACACAAATTCCAGGAATGGAATAAGGGACATTAATACAGATCCGATAGACATTAAAAGGATAATAAGGGAAGATTACAACAGGTTTATGGCAATATATTTGACAGATGAAATGGACAAATTTCCTGACAGACGAAAACTACTAAAATTGACACAAGAAGAAACAGAAAATAAATGTTAAATGAGTTGAACTGTAATTAAAAACATTTCATATGTAGCCTAGATAAGATCCTAGAAAACATTAGTGGGAAAACTGGTGAAATTTGCACAAAGTCTGGAGTTTAGTTAATAGTATTTTACCAATGCTAACTTCTTAGTGTTGACAAATGTACTATGATCATATAACATGTTAACATTAGGGAAACCAGGTTAAAGGTATATAGGAATTCTTTGTACTGTATTGGCAACTTTCATACTTTTCATTTTAAAATAAAAATTTTATTTAAAATCAACAATGATGCAAAGAAATAAAAAAAGAAGCCCCCCCACCAAAACAAACAAACAAACTCCAGGCTCAGGTAGCATCACTGATGAATTTTATCAGACATTCAAGGAACAAATAATACTAACCCTACATGAACTCTTCCAGAAAATAGGAGAGGAGGAAAGTTTTTGCGTCTTGATTTAAAAACCAGTATTTCTCTGATACCAAAACCAGAGAAAGACATTGCAAGAAAACTACAGAACAATATCCCTGGCAATAGACCCTAAGATTAAGAACAAGGCAAGGACGGATGCCGACCTGCTCTCGCTGCTTTTACTCCACATTGTACTAGAGGTCCTAGCCAGTGCAATAAGACAAGTAAAAGAAGGCATAGAGATTAAAAATTAAGAACTAAACGTATGTTTATTTGCAAAAAACACGACCCTTTGTGTAAAATTTGTTTTAATCTATAAAAAAGCTCAATAACTGAGTTTAGCAAGGTTGCAGGCTACAAGGTCAATATACAAAAATCAATTTTATTTTTATATACTAGCAGCCAAAAAGTTGTCATTGGAATTAAAATACAGTATCATCTAACACAGGACTCAAAATCATGAAAGATAAATAAGTATAACAAAATATGTTATAAGCACTGTATGCTGAAAACTACAAAACATTACTGAGAAATTAAATAAAACCTAAAGAAATGGAGAAATATACCATGTTGATGGATCAAAACACTTGATATTTTTAAGATTTTCCCCAATTGACATATAGACTCAGTGCAATCCCAAGCATAGTTCAAATTGATTCTTAAATTACAAGCAAATGAAGAGTACTAACATAACCTAATTTCAAGACTTACTAGAAAGGTAATCAAAACACTGTGGTTTTGGCATAAGGATAGACATACAGATGAATGAAACAGAGTAGATAGTTCAGAAATAGACCCACAGATTTATGCTCAATCATTTTTTGCCAAAGGTGCCATGGTAATTCAATGAGGAAAAGAGAATTTTTTCAACAGATGGTTCTGGAACACTTATGGGGGGAAAAATCGTGAATCTTGAAGTTTATCCCATTCATATAAAAAAATAATTAAAAATAGATCTAGACTTACACACAGAAGTTAAAATTTTAAAACTTCTAAGTGGATGCACAGGAAAAAATATCTGTGACTCTGAGGATGGCAAAGATTGCCTAGATAGGACACAGAAAGTACATGAGTCATAAGAGGAAAAGATTGATAAATCGAACTTTATCAAAAAAAAATAATAATAATAACTCCTGCAGTTCAATATACAGTATTAAAACAAAAAGGCAAACCACACACTGGAAAAAATGTTTGCAGTACTTATATCTGACAATAGACTTGCATTCAGAATACATAGAGAACTCTCTTGCATCTCAATGAGATACAGACACAGTACAAAAATAAATAAAAGGGCAAAATATTTTAACACACTTCACAGAAGATGATGTAGGAAAGGCCAGTAAGTCCATGAAAAGATTCTCAACATCATTCGTCATCAGAGAAATGCAAATTAAAATCACACTTAGCTACTCCACACCCCCACCGGAATGGCTAAAATTAAGACTCACAAACCAAGCGTTGGCACGAATGTGGAACAGCTGGAACTCTCATGCGTTGCTGCTGGGAATGTAAAATGATACAACCACTTTGGAAAATGGTTTGGCAATTTCTTGTAAAGTTAAACCTACACTTATCATACCACCCAGCCATTTCATCCCTGAGTGTCCTAAAGAAATGAAAATACGTCCACACAGAAACATGTACGTGAACGTTCACGGCAGCAAGCCCCAAATTGGAAGCTACACAGGTGACCATGAACAGATGGACAGGTCAACGAAGTGGGATGCATCCACACAGCGGCCGACTGCACGGCAGTGAAAGAGGATGAACAACCGACAGGCCCAACGACGTGGATGCCTCTCGCAAAACTATTCCACGTGGAAGAAACCAAGCACCAGAGTACATATTTTATTATTACATTTACATGAAACTTTAGAAGAGGCTAATCTAATGGGTACTGAAAGCAACCACATCAGTAGTTGCCTGAGAGCTGGAATGGGGCAAAGGGTAGCTTTTTACAGTTATGGAAAGGTTATATATTTTTATTGTAATTATACAAGTGTATAAATGTAGCAAAAACTCATCAAGACGTACACGTTAAGTGGATGAATTTTATCACATGTCAGTGAAGCTGATTTTTTTAAATCGGCATGTTTAACACAATATTGAGGGAAAACAAAGCTGGAGGACTGACAACTACCCAACTTCAAGAATTACTGCAAAGCTACAGTAACCAAGCGAGTGTGGTATTGGCGAAGGAACAGACAAATAGACCCGCCGAACAGAAGAAAAAGCCCAGAAATAGACCCATGTACATGTAGTCATCTGATCTTTGACAAAGGAGCAAAGACACTAAAATGGAGCAAAGGCAGTCTTTTCAACAAATAGTGCTGGAATAACTGGACATCCACATGCAAAAGAATGAATCTAGACCTAGACCTTACACCCTTCACAAAAAATCAACTCAAAATAGATGATGGAGCTAAATGTAAAACACGAAACTATAAAAAAAAACTTCTAGAAGATAACATAGGAGTAAACCTAGATGACCTTGACTATGGCTGTGACTTTGTAGATACAACACCAAAGGCACAATACATGAAATAATTGATAGGCTGGACTTCATTAAAATTAAAAACTTCTGCTCTGCAAAAGACAGTGCCTAGAGAATGAGAAAGCAACCCAGACTAGGGGGAAATATTTGCAAAAGACATGTGTAATAAAGGATTATTATCCAGAATATACAAAGAATTCTTAAAACTCAACAATAAGAAAACAATCTGATTTAAAAATGGTCCAGCGACTTTAAAAAACACTTCACCAGAGAATACATACAGATGGCACATAAGCGTATGGAAAGAAGCGCCACATCATATGTCCTCAAGGGTATGCAAAAACAACGAGATACTGCTACACACCTATTAGAATGGCCAAAATCTGAAACACCGACAACACATGCTGGTGAGGATGTGGAGAACCAGGAACTGCCATTCGTTGCTGCTGGGGATGCAAAATGGTATAGCCACTTTGGAAGATAGTTTGGCAATTTTTTTATAAAACTAAACATGCTCTCAACCATATGATTTGGCCGTCACACTATTTACCCAAAGGGGTTGAAAACTTCTGTCCACAGAAAAATTTGCACATGGATGTTTATAGCAGCGTTATTCATAATTGAAAAACTATGGAAGCAGCCAAGGCGCCTTTCAGTAGGTGAATGGGTAAGCGAACTGTGGTCCACCCAGACAATGAAATATTCAGTGCTAAGAAAAGAAACGAACTGTCAAGCCATGAGAAGACATGGAGGAACCTTAAATATGCAAGGTTAAGTGTATGATTCCAACTAGGTGACATCCTGGAAAAAGCAAAACTATGGAGACAGTAAAAAGATCAGTTGGGGGTGAGATGGGAGGATGACTAGGCAGAGCACAGAGGATTTTTAAGGCAGTGAAAATACTCCATATGATACCAGAACAATGGATATATGTCATAACTGTATACATTTGTCCAAACTCATAGAATGTACAACAATAGGAATGAACCCTAATGTAAACTGTGGACTTAAAGTAATGATGTGCTATCATAGGTTCATCAAGTGCAACAAATGTACCAATCTGGTCAGGGATATTGACAGTGTGGGAGGCTATGCATATGTGGGGGCCAAGGGTACATGGGGAATCTCTGTACCTTCCCCTCAGTTTTGCTGTGAACCTTAAACTGCTCTAAAAAAAAATAGTCATATTTTTTTAGTTGACATGTTTAAAGCCTCAAAACCACTTAAACAAGTGTAGTAAGAAAAATCTCATTCCCTTCCCGACTGTTTGTAATCTGTCCCCACCCTTGTATGGTAACCAGTTACGTAGTTTCTTGATTATTCCTTCCGTTTTTCTTTTTGCAACCTGTATGTGTGCAGATACATATTGTTCCCAAATTAAAGGTAGCGTACTATAAATACTCTCTTGCACCTTGCTTTTTTCAGTTAATATATCTTGGCAATCATTCTTTGACAAAATTTAGAAATCTCCTATATTATTTTTCCATAGCTGCATTCCACTCTGCTGTGTGAATGTACCCTGGTTGACTCAACCAATCTCTAATGTATGAGCATTCACATTATTCCCAGTATTTTGCTCTTATAAGTAATGTTGCAATGGCTAATTCTGTGCGATGTGTTTTCACCTTATTGGAGCTGTGCCTTTTGGGTAATATTTGAGAGATGGAATTGCTAGGTCAGAGAGTGAAGGTACGTACACTTTTGTTAGCAATTGCCAAGTGCCTCTCCACATTGGCTTCTACCACTTGTCATTCCCGCCAGCAATTAAGAGAATGTCTGTCTGCCCACAGATATCCAACAGAACAGCTGCCAGATTTCTGAACTTTTGTCAGTCTGATAGCTGAGAAATGTTAGCTCAATTGATTTTTCCTTCATTATCTCTAAACTTTTTTGTGATAATATTTATCTTTTTGTCTTTTAGTATTGCTGTTTGGAAGAATCACTTAATTCAATTTTCCCGTTGGCTTCTTTACAGTGTTCATCTACATCAAGACTTATTTTCTCAATTAAAATTGAGATTGTTTGGCAATTATATTTTTATTCTAATTAGTAGCTTTTTACAGCAGCCTGTCCGTGCCCTCCCCCGCTTTTTTTGTGGGAGACTGAGAGAGATATCTCAAAACTCTCCAGTGATGCACAATATTTATTTAGGACTTTCTTCTCCATTTATCACTGTCGTTTTCTCAGGAGCTGGTTTTCTCTGTTCAGTTTAGCATTACTCTTTCATGCTGTTAATTTTTATCAAATATTTGGTGATTCATGTTTATTTAAATGTCAGGTAGTGGTGAAATTCTAGATGGATCATTATCGGTTACTGAAGTGTAGTTTCTCAGGACAAACCATAATCCTTGTTCCTTTCGTTTTCTTAAGCTTCTCTTTCACATTTATGCGGTTACAGATTCTCTTGTTGTCATGAGTTTCTGATCAATCTGATTCCATTTAATTTATATTGACTGCATATTTCTCGCTGTCCTAGTTTGCCGATTGTACCCTTCTCGAAATCCAGTGCTATCATGGATTTATTCGTATATTAATAACTTTTGTTTTAAGAAGAAAACGGGAAAGAGAAGTAAAAGTCCAATCCAAACTTTTTCAGTTGATGGATCAGTTATTTATCTCCCTCTGCATATTAGCCATGGCTGTTGGAAATAACAGATAGGTGTGTCTCTGAGGGTGCCCCCTGGCTCAGCATGAGCAGGACGTCACCTAGAGTCCTTGTCTAGATGAAGGGCTAGCGACTCAACTAATGTCTGGATCTGGGTTTCAACTTTGCACATTCTGTATCACTCATCTTGTCGTAATAAGATAGTATATAAACCTTGATGCCAACATATTAATTTAAAACAGTATCCTACTTCCTCACTGACTTCATTTGGAAAACAGTTATCTGCATGATATTTATAAACAGAGCTCATTTTAAGAATTAAAACACATTTTCCATTTCATTTTATATACATTTTTAAAGTACTAAAATTTTTTAATGAATTTTTTTTTCTTTTTAATTTTAGAGTCACCCAATCAAAGCTAGGCTGTCCAAGATATTTCTTGAATAATAGAAATGTCACAAAACTAGAATATTCTGGTTGGCCTGGCCAATGACTTCTTTCTTTAGGCAGATGATCATCAGAAGCAAGGTCATAATCACCAGGTTGCTTGATAAACCTGGAGTCAGAGCAGGACGAGCTCGTTGAATATAATGATTAGTTCCTCAGGGAGCAGGAGTCATCTAGTAGGATGAACCCTTTATCTTCAGGAACATCAGTTGGTTAGAGTTCTCTCAGCCAAACAGATACGCTAAGTCGGCTGCTGTCTGCCTGACCGCCATTTCTCAGTGTCTCCTTGCAGCTCCCTGCTGACCACACGGTTGCACAGCTTTACCTAACTCAAGTGGCATAACCAGCTCTGGGGGCTCACGCTTACAGACGTCGCTCTACGCCTTATCTCCTATTAACCGCTGGGCATCCAGGGCTGTGTCTCCCTTTTTGAGCTTAGGGGTGTCCTGAGGTCTGTTAGCACAGACAGGAACAGATAGTGCTGAGAAAAACCTCACAGCGTGGATATGCGTCACTGCTGTGGGCAGGCAGTGAATGCGTGGAGTGCTGGGTGCAGACAGTCCATCCTCTTGGGTTCAAGTAGCAGGAAAGTCTCGCAAGAGTTGAGGTCACTCAGCTCCCGGGCTCACCTTCTGACACAATAGGGAGTCTTCACCATGAACTCAGCTGTCCGTTGAGCTCATCTACAGAAAATGAGCTGCATGAAATTTATAAACAAGATTCCTTATAAGGATGAAAACACAATTTCCCACTCAGTTCTTTATATAATGCCTAAAGGGCACTTTTAATACTTAAATCCAGACTATTTAACATGTAGTGTTGGCAAACACAGCAAGGCGTCCTTCGAGCTCTCCTTCAGAGAATTCGAAGGCGGACAATGAGCAGAGCAGAATTCACGCCCAGCCCCTCCGTCTTCCCTTGGCAGTAGTTGAGTCGAGGCAGCATGGAGGGGGTGAGACGTGCGGTGAGGGCAGACCTGCCCGCTTTGTTCTCCCAGCTCCCTGTACGAGCTTCAACGGTCATGGTAGCAAAGCTGACCCTCGGGGTATGCCTGGCTATGCCAAGAGCTTCATGCCGAGCCCGTTCTTTAACAGAACCCATGTGTCTTGCAGCTGTGAAGACGACCTCTCCGAGGACAGAGAGGAGCTCCTGCACGGCATTTCGGAGCTGGACATCAGCAACTCCGATTGTTTCCCGTCCCAACTGCTGGTGCACGGGGCCCTGGCCTTTCCCCTGGGCTTAGATTCCTACCACGGCTGTGTCATAGCCGCCGCCCGCTACGGGCGGGGCCGGGTGGTCGTGATGGGCCACAAGGTGTTATTCACCGTGAGTAAACTGGGCCCCTTTCTGCTCAATGCTGTGCGCTGGCTGGACGCGGGCCGCCGAGGCAAGATCGTGGTGCAGACAGAACTGAGGACACTGAGCGGCCTGCTCGCGGTGGGGGGCATAGACACCAGCATCGAGCCCCATCTGACCAGCGAGGCGAGTGTGTACTGCTTTGAGCCCGTGAGTGACGTGGGAGTCAAGGAGCTGCAGGAGTTCGTAGCCGAGGGCGGGGGACTGTTTGTTGGAGCCCAGGCCTGGTGGTGGGCCTTCAAAAACCCGGGGGTGTCCCCTCTGGCTCGGTTCCCGGGTAACCTCCTCCTTAACCCTTTCGGCATCAGCATCACGAGCCAGAGCCTCAACCCAGGGCCCTTCCGTACTCCGAAAGCAGGAATCAGGACCTATCACTTCCGCTCCACCCTGGCCGAGTTCCAGGTGATAATGGGCAGGAAGAGAGGGAACGTGGAAAAGGGCTGGCTGGCCAAGCTGGGGCCGGATGGCGCGGCCTTCCTGCAGATCCCCGCGGAGGAGATCCCGGCCTACACATCTGTGCATCGGCTCCTGAGGAAGCTGCTGAGCCGGTACCGGCTGCCGGTAGCGACCCGGGAGAACCCCGTCATCAATGACTGCTGCAGGGGTGCCATGCTGTCCCTGGCCACTGGGCTGGCCCACTCCGGAAGCGACCTCTCGCTGTTAGTCCCAGAAATTGAAGATATGTACAGCAGCCCCTATCTGCGCCCCTCGGAGTCGCCTATCACCGTCGAGGTCAACTGCAACAATCCAGGTATGGAATGAGGGGTGGGAGCTCAGTATCGGGGGCCTGGGGGACCGGGGCATGATGACTTCAGTGACCTGATCTCCTCCAGAAAGCCCCCTCCACTCTTAGCCATGCACTTGCAAGGAGACGGGGGTCGGGGGGTAGGTAACGTTTGCAGTGGTCGAGTCAGGGCAGCGTGGACAGGGTGAGGTGTGCAGAGCCCAGGAAGGGGCCACGGACATGCCGCGCGGAGGTAGGATCATGGAGGAGGACTGACGTCTGTCTTTCTGCGCTCCTGGCAGGCACCAGATACTGCTGGATGAGCACTGGGCTGTACATCCCTGGAAGGCAGATTATAGAGGTCTCACTGCCTGAAGCCGCTGCCTCTGCTGACCTGAAGGTAAGGCCATGCATGCCCCATCTCCCCACGAAACACGGAACCCGAATGTCCTGGCCTTCACAGTTGGCATCTTAACTTGACCCTCATAACAACCCTGTCGGCAGTCAGGGTGTGTCCTTTTACACCCATTTTAAGGAGGAGGCAGCTAAGGTACAGAATAGCTCATTGGCTGATTGAAATGTATATATCCAATACATTTCAGAGCACAGGACTCAAACCTTCTGGCTCTGAAGTTTGTGCATTAGCCAATGGCATAGAGTCGGGAATAGGAAAGGGACCAGAGGCAAGGCGCCCCAGCACACAGAGGTATTCGCTCACCTTCCATCCCCTACACATCTCCCACTGTAGCACAAGGCCATTCTGACTCCAGCTTCTTCCTGGGACACCAAAGACTGTCCCTTGCTTGCCCTGTCCCCCTCCAGCTCTGTCACTTTCACATACACACACCCTGGTTACAGATTAAGTTGCCATCCTGCTCTGTCGCCCTTGAGAGCCTCTGTGACAGTTCGGGCCTATTCTGTGCCTGCATCCCTCTGGAACGTTTAGCATAAACCTGGGACACCAATCCCAGGACTCCACCGAGGACAGGGGTCACTCCATCGGCCCAGAAAGGGGGCTCTTGGAGACGGGGAGGAACTGAATCAACCCTCCACTGCATCAGCTGGTCACACCGCCTCCCACTGAGATGCCTCTCGAGTCAGCAGAAGGCAGGGTCCCTTCCACCCCATTCCCAGCACCAGAATCCAGGGATCCTCAGAATTAGCCTGTGGTTACATCCAAGGATCCTCAGAATTAGCCTGTGGTTACACTTGGTGCCCCTTACTTCAACATCCCAACGTCACCCTTGGTGGAACTGTTTGACTGCCCCAGGAGGACATTTACACATGACAGGGTCCATGCCTCCTGAGGAACGATGCAGTTTTATGGGTTTATTTTTAGCACGCGGGTTCACAGTCAGAGAAGGCTGAGCTTACTTGGAGTCGTAGCCCAGTGCCCTTCCTGTCCCCACCTTCTGGGTCCTTACCCCTTCCACCCACACGTGCCCCGAGGTGACTCTGGGGCGGATCTCTCTGCTCCAGGTACAGATTGGCTGCCACACTGATGACCTGACCAGGGCCAGCAAGCTGTTCCGAGGCCCGCTGGTGATTAACCGGTGCTGCCTGGACAAGCCCACGAAATCGATCACCTGCCTCTGGGGCGGCCTCCTCTACATCATCGTGCCTCAGAGCAGCAAGCTGGGCGCCGTGCCCGTCACTGTGAAGGGGGCCGTGCATGCTCCGTACTACAAGCTGGGTGAGTGGGGGCCGCGGAGTGAGCCCTGAGGGGACAGGAGCTGGGAGTGACGTCATTGGGGCTGTTGGGTGCAGGAAGAGAGAGATTCCTATTGGTGGAGGGAAAGAAGGTAAGCCTCCTTAGATTCAGCTTGGGGCCGAGGAGATAGACTAAACCACGTTCACGAGGACTTCACAGAAGAAGGATGGAGAGGGGGACAGGCTTGGTCACGACCTTGGTGTTCTCTAGGGGTTCAAGTCGCATATTTTACCATGAGGGATTTGGGAAAGTGAATTTCAAGCCCCATGGTCTCTCTTCCCAGGGGAGACATCCCAGGAGGAGTGGAAGAGGCGGATCCAGGAAAATCCAGGTCCCTGGGGCGAGCTAGCCACGGACAACATCATCCTGACGGTGCCAACTGCAAACCTTCGCACCCTGGAGAATCCCGAGCCGCTGCTTCGCCTCTGGGACGAGGTGATGCAGGCTGTGGCACGGCTGGGGGCCGAGCCCTTCCCCTTGCGTCTGCCTCAGAGGATTGTTGCCGACGTGCAGATCTCAGTAGGTGGGTGCCCTGGGCGAGCCAGCCCTCTGTGCTGCTGCCGCCCCTGAGGGCCTGCAGTGGGCAGCCAGCAGAGTAAAAATGTTTTTCTAGCAAAATTTATCAGGTGTAATCCTTGCCATTTAAATGAAAAGGGAAAAAATTGATTTTAAAAAAACATAGACTCAGCCACTTCCTCCCATAAAAAAAAATTGGAAACTACCTAAGTGTCCAACAGTTATGGAATGGTTAAGTAACGCGTGTGTGCGCCTTCAGTAGACACTGAAGAAGACATTTAAAGGGATATTTCGATGGCGTTTTACCAGTGAGCCAAGAGGTCTAAAGAACTGGGGTGAGGAACCTATAAAATTTCGAGAACCATGGACATTGTTATAGACCCTAGTTTTCTTGGCTTACATAGATGACCGCTCTAAAGTAATGCAAATGTAGGCAATTCCACGTCTAAATAATGAGAAAGGGGACCACCCTCAACGATTTCTTAATTTTGAGAGAAGAGTATAATGACACAGGTTCACATGAACAGGGCACTCTCGTAAAAACAGAAAAATCGAATAGTAGCATGAACCGCAATTTGTAACCTGCATCACCGCCTGTAGCCACGCTCTCGGGTCGGAGTGAGGGAAGGCATTATTAGAGAATGAGAGGGTGAGGAGGCAGGCCCCAGAGGGTCTGGGTTTGGGTTGCCCTTCTGAGCATTTTGAGGTTCTGCAAGTCATCAGGGCTCCTGGGTATTTGGGGAGCTACAATACAGAGAAGGATTTTGCAGATGGGTGGGGAGTACTCTAACCCCCTCTTCCTCCCTCCTGTGTTTCCCAGGCTGGATGCACGCAGGGTACCCCATCATGTGCCATCTGGAGTCAGTGCAGGAGCTCATCAATGAGAAGCTCATCAGGACCAAGGGGCTGTGGGGCCCCGTACACGAGCTCGGCCGCAACCAGCAGCGGCAGGAGTGGGAGTTCCCGCCACACACCACCGAGGCCACCTGCAACCTGTGGTGTGTGTATGTGCACGAGACGGTCTTGGGCATTCCTCGGAGCCGTGCCAATATTGCTCTGTGGCCCCCAGTTCGGGAGAAGAGAGTCAGAATCTACCTGGGCAAGGGTCCCAATGTGAAAAACTGGAATGCATGGACTGCGCTGGAAACGTACTTACAGGTAATGGGCAAGCATGGAGGGTGACGGGCTTTCCCCTCCTGTGGGGACCGCCAGAGCATCATTGTTAGGTGACATTCTAGTAACCCAAGAGACTTCTCACTACACCCATCTCCCACACTAGGCCTCAGACATCCTGACAGAGTCCTATTTGATGATGCATCTCAGCATATCACTCTGCAAGACCCTAAGGCGACTTAATTGCTTCGGCCACCCCACCCCACCCCCACCCCCAACCCCATGTTTGAAAAGATTCCTGAGAATAGAAGGCACCAAGAAAGGTGAAAACATGGCAGAGGCACATGCAGCGTTATGAGTATAGTTACTGTCACTGGCTTTAGACCCAGACACACCTGAGGTGGAGGCCAAACTATGCTATTTAACAGCCGTCTGAAACCAAACAACCTCTACCCCAACACGGCCACATGGGATAGGGCCTACTTTTTTTCCTTCGATGAGTGTACCATCTTCTCATTAAGACTCGGCTGGGCCCCAGTTTCCACCTTATAGGCAATCCAAGATTCCTCATGGGCCTGGATGTGCCTTTGCCTTGAACTGTTGTTCGGCACCCCAGGCCCCGCCCCCGAGTCCCCAGTCAGTTCCCAGCTCACTGCGGAGTTTCATCATCCAGGATTCTGGATCTCAGTCACGGGCCAGGCACACTCTATTCTGGTCCTCTCACCTGCCTCGGTTCCTCTTGGTTCATCCCCACTGCCACGAGAATGACAACGAAACTGCCAGGAGACTCGACTTAGACTTGTCTTTGGGGCCACTTCACCCCAGAGACAGCAGTTCCTCCTCTGTGAAACAAAGTCGAGGTCGTCTAGGGAACTGTTAATGCCCCTTTGAACTCTAACGCTCTGTAACCCAGCTTCACACACGCTATTTCCAGTGGCCTCAGGACAGCCGCCTTTTTCTAAAATTACACTTACTCTTAATTCTAGCTACTTAGACTATATATATAGTCTTCTGTTTCTACCAGACTCACTTTTTTCCCCTTAAAGGCCATTTCAGTAGCCTTGCAAATTAACACAGACCTATGAGTAACGAGGATTGTGTCAGGATAGGGCCGGGTGTTCCCCACGTATTGGAGTTTAACTTTGCAACTGTGAAAGACATGAGAATTTATTCACTTCAGCCCGCGTTAAGTCCTATGTAATATCCTATCACCATTTTCATGATGATGATAAATACTGATAATGATCATTATATGATAATAATCATATGAAGATATTGGCGATAAATGAAATGATAATCATTATAGATATTATTACCACAGCCACCGCTCATCGAGCGTCTGCTTTGTGCTAAGCGCTGGGCTAGCTCCGAGGCCCTTCTTCAGATTAGAATATGAGAGAGTAGGGCCTGAGGCCCACAGGCGAGACAGGAGACGGGGTCTCAGTGATAGACACGAAACTAGCCTTTAAGGGGCGAAGCGCATTAAGTTCATTTCTTAGAGGGCTGGTCTTGTCGACCAGCTGTCCCATCCCGTCGCTTCTTTCTCTTTCCAGCTGCAGGAGGCCTTTGGTTGGGAGCCATTCATCCGCCTCTTCACCGAGTATCGGAACCAGACCAACTTGCCCACAGACAACGTTGACAAGATGAATCTGTGGGTGAAGATGTTCTCCCACCAAGTGCAGAAGAATCTGGCTCCCTTCTTTGAGGCCTGGGCCTGGCCGATCCAGAAGGAAGTGGCAACCAGCCTTGCCTATCTGCCCGAATGGAAGGAAAATATTATGAAATTATACCTCCTCACACAGATGTAAGGAGTGCCCAGCGAGGTGGCAGGTAGAGAGGTTTGGGGAGGTAGGCAGAGATGGGGATTCACTCCTCGGCCTCTGTCTCTTAGGGCCCTAGCCTTGTCCTCTCAGCTCACTGGCCCTAATCTAATTGCCTAGTCCTGTTTCTAGGGAGTGGGTTCAGAACACAGCAAATCAGCATAATCAGAAGCGTAATCAGCAAGGCCTTCTGTCGATGAGTTTTATTCTTCTGCTCTCAGCTATCATTTTCCCTCCTGACCCTATGTGGCCCAGTTGTGAGAGATTTGGCCCCTGTGTCTGTGCCAGCCTCAGTTCACCGTCACGGGCCATCACCCATAGAGGGTGGTTCTCATTCTGACATCCTGTGGACTCTGGGCTTTTATTTTCGATAAGTTATTCTAAAAACTCTGACCATAGCACCCAGCTGAAACACAAGTTTACCATGATAACCAGACAGCTCCCTAATGACTCACATACTTTGTGTCTTGGGTAGTTTTCAAAGAGCTTGAAAAGCAATCTGGTGAAATAGAAAGAGCCCATAGCTAGGGTAAGCTCTTGGGAAAGTTATTTTATCTCTGTGTTCCCATTTCTTTGTGTGAGAGATGAGGACAAAAACCCACAAGGGGGTTGTGAGGACTCAGTTCGATAATCTTGAAGAGCTTCATGAATACAGCACATGCTGTCCAGGGGACCACTTTATTTTATGCTGGTCCACAGAATAGTGAGCTGACTCCTTCCCATAACCTCGAGGTTAAGGTCGTCATTTGTCACAGTTGACTCCCCACATCCAAATCCTGGTTCTTTCACTCGTTTCTTGTGTGACTCTGGGCAAGTTCCTCAACCTCTCTGTGACTCGATTTCCTCATCTGTAAAATGGGATCTATTTCTTGGGATTATCGTGAGGATTAAATTTTAGTGCCTCTGAAAGTATTCAGAACAGTACCTGGCAGTTGGATACTGAGAAAATGTCAGCTGTCATTATTTAATTAACACAACTTCATTTTACAACTAGACTTCACTTTTAGATGGCTTTTACAGATGCAGTGTAATTAATCTTGTGCCATCCTACACATCACATACCAGCCTCTGAAAGGGTTCTGGTACATTGCTTTATGATCTAAAGGAAGAACTTGAAACTCACAGGGTGTTAAAAGCTACTTAGGGTCTGGTCTCTTTATTCATTCCATTCTTCAGGTAAAATTCCTTCTTTAAGTAAGAGTAGAAGACGCTTGAAAAACCAGAATAATTCCATGAGCGTGCTTGTCTTTAGCAAACAGTGGGCATCCAGCTCAGTGATGGTGTTTACATTTCCACAGAAACACAGGTTTCTATCACTATCAAGACTGACTTACCAGTTGGGCAGTTAAAGTCCGCACACATACAGAAACCTTTACTTTGGAACAAGATAGGTAGGTATAGCTGAATCAAATTTCATTTAATTACAACACATTCAAAGATTTTCTTAAATTGTCTTCTAATCATAATCAGAACCTCCCACTACATTGTAGCTTCAGCTAGAGGTGGGGCTGTAGGATTCATGTTGTGTATATTCAAGCAGTTTTCCTTTAGCTCACTTCTTTTTATTTAGTCCTTTTAATACACTTTTATTTGCTTTGTTGGATATTGGGCGGATTCATAGACAATAAGATTTGACCTAGATAATATTTTTCTTTGGATTCCTTTATCATGTCATTTTTCAATCATAAAATTATGTTCCCTTATTTCACAACTATCTATCACCTAGGTGATTTAAACATAGATGTTGAATATTTTTCAACATTTAAAATAATTGCTGTCATTTAATGAGGTGTTGAGTATATGCCAAGTATTGTACTGGTTCCTTTATATAGATTGTTTCACTTAATCTTCACAATAATTTTATGAAATGGAAACTTATGGATCCCTTTTTAGGAATGAGTGAACTGAATTTTATGGCAATCAAGTAAAGTGCCTAAGGCTACATTGCTAACAAGTGGTAGACCTGGGATTTGAACCTGACATTCTGATTACAGCACGGGTGTTAGTAACTCCAGTGCCTGAAATAACCAAATCCATGAGTAAATGAAGAAACCAACCAGCAAACAAAAGGGCCTTTATGTCCCTACTTGCCAGCAGTTTGGCTGCTTATACTTACCCTTCATCTATTTTTATCTCAACAAAAAGTCCCTTTGTCTATCCTAAATTCCAGTTCAAAGGAAGAATTTGAGGTAGGCTCCCAAAGTGCTTGTGGGTTCCCGGTTATTCAGGTTTCAGTCATTCCCTCCAGGGCACCGTGAAAGCATCCTACTAGCTTATTGGATTTTGAATTATTGGGTTATTTTGGTACAGTGCCTGACTCCCAGAAGCCCCAGACGCTGCATGTTCTCAGAAAGGAAATTAGATCCTCGGTCATCTAGAATAATATTTATATCCATGTCCTCCCTCTTGAATCCATTTCAGCAGTACGGCCCCCGGGATATTTTAAAAATATAAAGTTATCTATGTCACCCCACCTATCTAAATAAGCTTCCAGTGGGACTTGGACTTTAAGATGATGTACTGAACGTGTAAGTTTGCATTCCCTCCCTCCCCAGGCCCCACTGAAACGGAAGTCAAGAAATTCAAAAGAAACCTCTCGACAAAGAAAACGGAAGGCATTCGGTTATAAACGAAGAGGACCTCAACACATTTCTGGAAGAGAGAAAGTTGGTGGAGCATGAAAAAGAATGAGAGAGTGAAGGTACCCTTCAGACAGAGTATAAGCTGATCTGAACGACCCAACCCCCGAGAGACTTGGGCACCTAAAAAGTCTGTCCATGCCAGTTGTAAAATTGAGCCCCATCCCATTCTTGTGCACCGAACACAGGCAGCCAGCTCTTGGTACCAGTGAAAAATCTGTTGTTACTGTTTGTCGTTGTCGTCGTTGTCATCGTCGTTGTCGTTTATATAAAGGAACTGAACAAACTACCTGAGGAGAGGTAGGAGTTGGTGCGCCAAAATAAAGTTTCTCTTTTCGTGGAAATAAGTGATCCCCCAACCTGTCAGCCAATTCTCTACCGACGGTCGAGACCCACCCCCCACTCAAGTAACCAAGTGCTTTCAGTCACTGAAGAGGCTTCGTGGAAAATCAGATTGAGCCATAGGATGACAGAGGAAACCCACACCAACTCCGGTAAAAGTCAGCAGTTATAGTGATTCTTAAATGCAATGGTCAGCTAGAAACTCCCAGACGTTGGGCATGACGGGGGTGGGCAGGTGAGAGGAAATACCAGAGGAGAAACGTGTAAGAAAAAATTACCAATTAGAATTAGGAGATTTGAAAAACACAACAAATTCTGGAAGAAACAAAGTTAAAATGGAAAAAAAATAAATAACTTAAAAATCTAGCTATATCTTCAGAGAGAGCTGAGGTGTATTTGTAAGATGAAAACCAGAGGGAAAACTCTGAGAATAAAAAGAGCCTTTGAAAATGAAATAAGACTGCCAAAAAATTCAGTAAACATGCTAGAAAATAAAGTTGAGAGAATTTCCCTAGGTATAGAGCAAAAAGAAATAGAAGAAAATAGGAAGAAAGGAAAGAGACATAGACAATCAATATCTAACCATTAGAAGTTTCTGGAAGAGAAAACAAAATATAGGTTAAGAAAAGAAAAATGAACAGAAAGATCTAAGTCTCCAGAATGAGGGGGGCCTCAATAAAACCTACATTTTGAGATACAATCTTGTGAATTTTTGGAATGTTAAAGATAGAAGACATTGAAAGTGCCCAGAGAGAAAATAAAATTAGGTCATCGTATTTAACTAAAAAGAGATAAGAAATAGACCGGCAGCAGATTTTTCATCAGCAACACTGAAAGCTAGAAGCCAATGGAGCAGTGTCTTCAAATATCTTACAAATTTTCTATCCAGGATTCCATAGCAAGCCAAACTGTCAAGGGTCAAGCCAAAATAAAGACATTTTCTGACATGTAAGTTTTCAGAAAGTCTACCTCCTTTGCACCCTTACTGAGAAAGCACCTTGAAGAAGTTCTCCAGCAAAATGAGGGTGAAAACCAGGAAAGAAGAAGCAGAATTTAGAAAATGATGAACCTTGCCCAGGATGCGTCACTTCAGAGTGACACTTATCCAGTAGTATGTCTCACTCCAGAGAGAGAGTTTTATCCAGCAGACCCATTTCAGATGAGAGCGCACAGTCTCTGGGTCTCTAGGAAGAATATGCATTCTGTGCCATAGATCGTATCATTGAGACGCCGGGATGTTTGAGAACATGGAGAACATAGATCCTGTAGTCAATATAAAAGAAAACAAAAACATGTCAAGAAATTCACACCCAATTATGAAACAACAACAAAAAATACTCATGTGATGTAAGAAGACCCCATTTGACATTGGCGGTAGGTACACTGCACGTGGCACAGTCATGACATTAGCTGTGTACAGAAGAAAACGTCCTAGCTTCTATGTGGCTCTCAATAAACAATATTTACGTAGCCAAAATAATGCAGATGCTGTTTATTGGCATACGGTGTTCTGATCAGCCTATAGGCAAAACACAAAAGGCTTAATTTTTTTATTTAGAAATGAAGTTGAAAGTAATTAATCCTGACAAGGAAAAAGAGAGCAGAAAGAGGCTGAGAGCTAGCTGTAGGAAGAGAGGGGAGAGGAAGAGGAGGACTGCTTATATCATCAAAGTGGGGGTGAAGAAAGTCTGCAGTTAATGGAACAAGAGCTAGAGGATCAGTACACTGTTCAAAGCTATAAATTAAATGAACAGAAGGGTTAAAAATGACATCAAAAATTTGGGAAAGGATAGACAAAGGAAAGGTGGGGGTAGTGTACGTTAAATCCTTATCTTTTGTAATGGGGTATTATCAAAGATTGTGTAAAGTTAATAAGCCAAGAAATTATTGTTCAAACATATTATTTAATATTAGGAAGTTTAGATAACAGGAGATCTAAAAATAGAAATTGTTAAATGCATTGCTTCTAGGGAATGGGGCTAGTTAAAAAGGTAGGTTGGGGATCTGTGTTTTTCATTTTAAGTTCTTCTGTACTATTTAATTTTTTACCTTGTGCATGTATTACTTTGAAAAAATTTTTAATAAACTCAAATAAAAATCTTTCAGTGGCTTCTTACTGACTAAGATACAGTCCAACCAAAACCCTTAAAATGGTTTAAAATGCCCTCAAGTGTTTGTATCCACCCAGTGTGTCCAGGCTTATCCTAACTCCCCAACACTCTCTAGTTCTAGCCACACCTAATATCCTCCAACTATTCAAACACACTTTGCCCTGTTTCTGCAGGTGTTTCACAGAAAACAAAGCCTGCCCCTTATCTCGCCATATGTCTGGTGACAGGGCTTATTGTCTAGCAAGTTTTCAACATTTGTTGAGTAAATGTACAACAGGGTATTGCATGAAGACTGCCAGCTAGTGTTCTTTCCCAAGAAGGCACATATATTCCCCTATTCCAGGAAGTATTTCAAGACCATACGGGGCTGCAAGCTTTCTTGCACTCCCATTCATTTGACAATTTTCATACGTTTTAGTCTTATATGAGACCAGGTGGTGTTGGAGGACTTTTATCCATCTGCTAGTCTCCTTTGCCACTTTGCCTGCGATCATAATCTGTTTTCAGCTATTTTTTTTTCCTTCTTTATCTAGTTCCCAAGGCCAGCTGGGGCTCTCTAATGCGTACTGGCCTTCCAGCCAGTCTTCAGCAGCTGCCTTTATTGGAAATGCTTCCTATCTCCTCTTCATAAGATTAATCTCCGACATACCTCATCCCTAAATCAACGTCCCCACCCATTGTCACAACCTCACCGAACGTATGCACTTAGGCCGATAGCAAACCAGGTATGGCCTTACGTGATGACTGTTTTTGCTGACAAAAATAACACCCTTCTTTCAAGACTGCTTCACTCCTATGCGCTTTATTCCAAGATTTTGGACCCTACTCGACTTCCGCTTTGAAATGACTTTCTTTCTTTGACTCATGTCACCGGAGTCAGTCTTTAAGTTTGGTAGAGAAGTGGGTAGGAGGTGAGCCTCAACTTTTCAGAGATCTTCTAACTATATACAAACACATAGACAATTCCATAGCTAATCCAAGAGAGCTGTAGAAATGCTACTTATGCATTTGGATACCTGTGCATTTAAATGTTTGGTTTTTTGTGTTTGTTTTTAAAGAAGCATTTATTTGATAGGAAAGCTTGGGCAGTTGAAGTTAACTGCCAATGTTCTAGTCTCATGTTGGGTAGTTGATTTCATAGGTGCTCATTATAGGAGAAAGAAATAGAATAAATAAAAGTAAATTAAAAACAAGCCATTCACTGATGACTGTCAGGAGCCAAGGATTATGTTAATACAAATATGTGCGCCTGAGAGCCATTAAGAAGTTACTTCTGTTCATCCGCACTACATAGGAACTCACATAATTATTTACGAAACATGTACACGTAGGTACCAAAAATTTCTTTGCACGGACTACCTAAAGTTTGACACAAAATTCGCTTTCGCAGATTGCCAGAATTATTTGGTGTAATTTGAGACCTGAGACAGTACTGAAAGGATAGGAAGAAAGGCAAAATGATCACATGTACAATATAAAAACCAGTCAAAGCGTCCACAAAAGGCCCCAAAGACACAGAAGAACCCCTCGCCCCGCCTTTCTCAGCACAACCTGTAGTCCAAGACCCAGGTATACATTGCAGGCTATACCTATGCCTAGCCCTGTTATCTGTGAAGTGTCTGTGCTTTAAACAGAGGCCAAAGACCTGGAAAAAGACCATAAACTCCTTCCTCTTCCTCCATCAAAGTAAATAAGGATGGGAAAGGCAACTCCAGCTTTTTTTTTTTTTTTTTTTACATGGACTTTCTCCTTTTGTTCTTGCTGTCTGGCCACCTAAAAATTTGTTCAACAAACACTTATTAAACACGTATGGCAATGCTAGTTACTATTATGGGGTCTAGAAATACAAGATAAGAAACCTGCCCTTCTAAGTGCTTTTCAGTTTGAACATAAAAATGAACAAATAAACATATCAGGTATAAAAAGCACTATAAAGGAATATAAGAGTAAGCAAGGACATGGGTAAGAGAATGCACAATGGGCCCAAGAAAGCTCCTCTGATAAGGTGACATTTGAGCAGATTCTTGAAAGAAATGATGGAACGAACGATGTAGATAATTTAAGGCAAAAAGAGGTAAAATTATGCTCGACATATTGAGAACAGCAAGACAGACATGAGTTTCATCCTATAATGGTCGATAGCTACTTTCTCAGATATAAGTCTGGATCACAGACGTCTGACCTTGACATTATGATAGGAGCTGTTGATCTAAAGGAAACGCATGACTTTGTAATCTGTCCTCAGACGTCAAGGCACGCTTCCCAGTAAATTTTGCAGCTTCTCTCCTCTGAAATTTCTCTGTGACTAAGAAGAGAGAGGAGCTCATCTCAGTGGATGCTATAGCCTCTGCCAAAGGTATTGAATGGAGACATAACTCCATAAACTAAATTCTGGGCCCCCATCAATGGCCTGATGGATCCATATGAATTTGCTTCCAAATTCATATGGAGAGAACTGATCTGGAAACAACTGAATAAATTTTTATAGCGCTGGAAGTTTTAGTCTTATGTATCGATGTCCATCAGAACAAATGTGTAGAGAGTAGTGGGGAACTTAGATTCAGTCAGTCTTGGCTTCTCATTCCATATCCTCTCTCCACTCCCAAGCTGAATGATGTTCATTTAACCTCGGTTAAAATTAAAAGACACTTTGGATCACAATTCTCAATACACAATGTTAAGTCTTGAGAAGGAAGACCTTAATGTCACAGAAACTTTGGAATAAATCAATTTGGAAAGAACCGTTTACGTTTGCAGAAAAAAAAAAAGATAATATTGCTGGTGCCAGAAGACTAGGAACTTTGACACGTTCTTTGTGGGAATTTTGTTGTAGATATGACCTTCCATGTCTCCCAACCCCCACACTAGCCCCTCTGGCTTTGGTATCTGCAACCCTTGTGGATCTGTGCATGAAGATGTATAAACCACACTGGTGTGGGTGCAATTACAGGAAACTAGATCTGTTGTGTGCCTACCCAATAGGTCTGATATTCTCAGAGCCAGAGGAAAAACATCTGCTTTCAGCCCTGGGTGAAGTCAGTTTTACTGGCTTCTAGGAAACTGAAGTCTTCAGTACAAAATCAAACTTCATGTCTAACCTGGGGATGGGAGGGGTTTAAGAATGTAAGAAGACCCCTCCCTTGCTCCCTGTTGGAGGAAGAGAGCTCCAGCATGGATATCTCTGGAGTGGCAGTGATATGTTCCAAGGCATCCTCTGTGATTGGAATATTACTGGCTCCTACCACATATGTTCTACATCCTTATGATCCCAAAAGAAAACAAAGGCCCTGGTTAATTTTGCAAATACACCAAAGGAGACCATGAAAGCTTCTATAACTGAATTAGGGCTGGCCAACGGTCAAGAGAAGCAGCAAACTTTAGCTTCATTGCTTTAAATAAACAGGCAGGCGGGAACTCACACTTAGAGATGAACCATGCTATACTTTGAATAAAGGTTATCATACGTGTACTAGAGGGCGAAAATGCAGTGGGTGAGTCTTATAAACTCGAGTTAATGGCTCTGTTCTTTACTTCCACTGCAACACAATTTGAATACATGCACTTGAGCGTTCTAATGTTAGGAGATATAATTATAGCAGTACTCGTGTTAGCCTGGTCCTTCAAGAGGCAGAAGCCGAGATGAGATCAGGTGTGTTAGGAGAGCCATAAGACTGCGATGGATGTGAAGGAGAGAGCACAGGAAAGAAAGGCTGACACACTGCAGTGCAGGTCTCACAGAGCTTTGTCAAGGCCAGTGGGGAGTCCTTCAGCCGAAGTCACCCTTCAGAAGAGCCCCACGTCTCCCAGGAGTGGGCCTTCCTTAGTATCCCCGTCACACTTAATCACTGACCAGGAGAAGCCATGGCCTTGGCCCCAAGGATTCCAGTGCCAGCAGCTGGGGCCATCTGTCAATTACATACCCACTCGCTGCCCTTGGAGACCTGAGCAGACCATTTTCATGGCCACCACAGTACTTATTCTTAAAACAGCTGTAGACACCTGTTATGGATCATCTTAAATAGTGACTTAGTCAACCTCCCCAGTGACTCCTGCCAGTAAATGCACACAGGTGGATCCATCCATCTCTATTCCTAAATTAGAGTATAGCTAATCCTTTCCAGATTCTTGAGGCCCTTCAGGGAAAGAACATATTGGGGCACATAAGTTTAACTCACAACTAAAAATAGTTGAAGAAGAAGGCCAATGACTCTTAACACCAGCCCATAACTGGAAAGCATGTGTATCAAGTAACTTCTGCATTTGGCTTGGTGAAAATTTCTGAAAGGATTTTCCTCTATTTGACAAAAATGGAAAGTTCAAACTACCAACAAGTTAATGGTTAAATTATTGATTAGGTAATTTTGAATCGTCTTTGTCTTAAATAATAGAAACTTATTTTCTCACAGTTCTGGAGGCTGGAAGTCAAGCTGCCAGGGGAATTTGGTTTCCCTAAGGCCTCTCTCCTGAGCTTGCTGACAGTCACCTTCTTGCTCCGTCCTCATGGTTTTTCCTCTTTGTGTGGGCATCCCCAGTGGCTCCTTTTCTAACAGGGACTCCAGTCATATTGTATTTAGGGCCCACCTCATCAGGCTCATTTTCATTTAATCACCTCTTTAAAGACCTTCTGTCCAAATGCAATTACATTCTAAAGTACTGAGAGACTTCGACATATGAATTTGAGGAGGGGGACACAATTTGGCCCATAACAAGAAGCATTTCACAATGTATTACAATAAGAATCAGCATTTCATTCCTGGTTGCCCCACTCTCCAAAAAAAAATAAATAAATAAACAAAAATAAAATAAAATAAAACTGCTTTAAAATACTAAAAGTATATTTTGGTGATGTTTCAAAGATAAACACAGTAATCATACAGCATTATGTTAGTTTAAGAGGAAAAAGCGAAAAGGAAGAATCAGCCAAGTACGTGCGGGAAGGAGTCTGCTGGTGACCTTGGAAAGAAATGAAGTGGTCCAAGCAGAAGCTGCATTGCTGAGATCTGAAAAAATGAACGACAGGGAAGAAATGGCATGCTGTCTACAGAGAGGCAAGGAATAGAGTTTAACCAACGTATATTTCAGTCCAGGAAAAATAACAGGAGGAGATTAAATAAACAAACAAACAAACAAACAAACAAACAAAAGCACAAAAAGGAGAGAGAACTGGACAGCAAGACCCTGGAGGAGATGTCACCTGTTTTATAAAGAGAAAGGGCTCCAGATCTGGTGAAGGGACTGGCCTTGACAAGGCCCCAGACAGAAGAGAGAACATGACTTGAGTCAGCTACTGTTCTAGAATTCAGTGAGGCTGTTTGAGGGAATAACTGCAACTTTTAAATAATATCCATGCAGAGCCAGTCATGAACCTTATTTTTAAAAATTAGGTACATCTAATGACTTTATAACCAGTGCGATGGTTTACATGCATAATCAGTGGCGGCCCCAACGAGGGGCTTTAGAAAAATAAGGGATCTAAAGCCACAGTCTCCATAACGCTCATCTCCCTTCCCCTTCCTGTATCCTCTCTCTCCCCCTAAAAACAAAACAAAACTCAACCAAAGTAAAAATAGTCTATCTGCGTTGCAAAGCTGAGCAAAATCAGATTCGCAGCCAATCTCCTATTACTCTTCCCTCGTGATTTTCACCTTCCCATCCCTCCTAGATATAAATTCAAGCAGCAGCTGTAGGTTCCGCAGCCATGCATGAACGTGTCTGCTTGGTGATGTGACAGGCATACTTTCTTTCCAGCGGGAATATCACTGGGCATTTCTGTCATCTCTCAGGCCCCAGTCTCTTGGCCGAGTTTTCTGGACTAGGGAGCATCTCCCCAGCACGAGGTGCATGGCCGGCGCTGACCACCAGGGGGCAGGCGCTCGACGCGGGAGCCCCAAGCGACAGTGACACAGCAGCCGCGGTTGTCCCGCGCCGCGGTGCCCCAGGACCGGAGAGAAGGAAGCCCAATTCCACGCAGGGCCAAAGCAGACCTGCGGCCGTGGGTTGCATTGTTGCTGGGGGACTGTTTGCCCCTAACCTAGTTTACTGGAGACTTGGCGTTTGCTTTTCTCACCCAGTATACCAACAACTTTGCAGAGCTCCCTCTCGGCCCCCAGGACCCCTTGGAGAGTCTGGGAGAGCCCATTTCCGCCCCGATCCCCGCAGGTCGAGGGACCCCGCCTAGCGGGATGGCGGGCCGCGCACCACGCAGGCACCCCGCAAGCACCCCGCGGCGCCGCCCTCGGTGAGGCGGGCCGGGGAGGGACCGCGGGGAGGCGGCTCCGGGGCGCGGCCCTCCCCACTCCTCCCCTCGTCCCGCTCCGCCCCGCGGGCCAGTACCGGACCGCCCGCCACACCCCTGCACAAGCCCCGGCTCCGGAGCCTGCGCCAAGGACCCGACTAACCGAGCGTGAGTTTTCAGTCCGAGATCGTGCTGGGCGGGCCGAGCACCCGGCACCCTGTGCGCCCCCAGGTGCCAGACGCCTGCCCGAGAACGAGCCCGCGATCGGAGTATCCCTCTCCTCTTACGGCCAGGTTTTTGTTTCGTTTCGTTTCGTTTCGCCGGTCTGGCGCTATTTCCTATGGGTCTGAAAACACTTTTCTCTCGTTTCTTTGAATTGGTGAGTCAAGAATTTGACAGAGATGCGTGTGTGCGCGCGCGCACTGATGCACAGAGTTGGAGTCAGTGTCTCGGGAACATATTGCTCACCTCCTGGGTTTTCTGTTTGTTTTTCCTGTAAAACTAGAGAGGCCCAGATTAGTGAAAGACTTCTCTTGTGCTCTCAGAGGTAGTTAGCAGGAACCAAGGGCCAACGTGGCGCCCCCACACGCTCCAGGCTCCAGCTGGGGATGGGCTCTCGTTTGTGAAGTCTCTGTCCCCGGAGCAATACTGAGAAAGAGGTGGGTAGTCGAGAAGGAAAGTTTAAAGGAGCTGGAATTCGGAATTTTACAGGAAATACAGGTCATGCTCGGGGAGATTTCACGGAGAACAAATGTAGCAGGAAAGAAAGTCTAGAAAACGATGGAGCGCTCAGACCCTGAAGGACCAGAGCGAGACACCCAGCTTTTGCCTTAGGGGGATGAAATTGGAAGGCCCTGAGAGTCTGAGGAAGATCGTAGAAGAGAATACATCCTGGGAGGTAAAACCAGAGTGGTCTCGTCTAGATATGAACGTAACAAAAGGAACTGACATTTGGAGACCCAGTAGGGAAGACGCACGAATGAGGTGGCTGACTGTACATGGGAACTGGAGAGGAGGAAGAAGGCGGCAAACGCAACTTGGGCCTTTGGCATATGTCTTGGTTTAGACTCTTGTCCAAAGCAAAGCCTGGCAGAAGGATGAGAAGGATGTGGGTAGTTTATTTGGGAAGCGGGCACAGAATGCCAGAGTGAGGAAGGAGGGAGGATGCCACAAGGAACGAGAGACAGGCAGCGAAGGAAGGCCATGTCACCGAGCTGCTGTCCACTGTGGGCAGCTGGAGCTCCGTTCCTCCTGGGACCCTCTGGGGGACTCATTCTAGAGCACACCTCAGGCAGCCAGTGAAGTCAGAAGTGGGCCCAGGGGGAGTGGCACTGGTGCCTGGAGCATCTACTATATAGCCCTTGTCACTTGAGAAAGCTAGAAAGAGTAGCTAAGGGACAGACACTCAAGTTTTCTCAGTGCTCACTGTGTATCTGGCCCAGGACAAGGGGTTTTTACATGCATTCTCTTAATCTTCATAAACAATCCTCTAGGGGATGCATGATTCTCTTTTTATAAATGGGGAAACTGAGGCTTAACTAATTTATCCAAGAAGAGCTATTTTGAGGGGAATAATGAGCTTCATTTTAGGCACCCCTTATTTTGGAAGAGCTACCCAAACAGAGGTGGGGAACCCCCCAGTAAGGCAGACATGATAAACTGGGAGGCCTTTCCAACTCGTTTAGTCAAAGCTGCCAGAATCAATGCAGTTTCTGAAAGGTCACCTGACCTTTTCGTCAGCTCCCACTCATCACCTCTCCGGATGATCCACCAAGCTCTGCAGGACCCGTCTTCCCCAACCTCCCCACCCCCGCACTCCACCGAGGTCCTACAGCTCCCCACCCAGTTCTCTCCAGCCCCCCTTTCTTTGGAACTCACTTCCTCTTCAGCATTTCAGGTCTCGACTTAAATGTCAGGTTTCAACTTCAGTGTTACTTTCTCATCTGGGCCTTTCCTGTCACCCGAGAGCTCATCACTGTTTTATTTTCAGCATAAGTTTCTAATTGCTGCATTTTATGTTTATCTACTTATTTATTTATGGTCTTTCACCTTCTAAAATAGTAGGCTTGTGAGAGCAGGGACCTCGCCTGCTGCATTTCTTGCTGCGCCCCCAGTGCTTGGCACACAGTGGGGACCCACCGAGGTGTTTTCGTCCGAATGCATTTAGTCGTTCGTGTGCTCACGCATTCCTTCATCTGTTCTGACCCCGCTGTCTTTGCTTTCCTCCACAGCAGCTGACCGACATGGCGACAACTCCCGCTGATGCTTTCGAGGCCCTTATGGATGGAGTGACAAGCTGGGATCTCCCCAAAGGCCCCATCCCGTGTGAACTCCTTCTTACTGGAGAGGCCGCCTTCCCGGTGATGGTGAATGGCAAGGGCCAAGTCCTCATTGCTGCATCTTCGTACGGCCGAGGCCGCCTGGTGGTAGTGTCCCACGAGGGCTACCTGCTGGATACTGGCTTGGCTCCATTTCTTCTCAATGCAGTGCACTGGCTCCAGCACTCCCGTGGGGCTCCCGTGGGCGTGCACCCCTCCCTGAAATCACTAGCATGCATCCTGCAGGCCTCGGGGGTCGAGGCACAGATTCGGCCAGACCCTGGAGACCCTCTGCGGGTTTACTGCATCAACGCCTACAACAACACCCTGACTGCAGAGCTGACCCAGTTTGTGAAATGGGGGGGCGGTTTGCTCATTGGGGGCCAGGCCTGGTATTGGGCCAGTCAGCACGGTCGTGACAAGGTGCTGTCCAGGTTCCCCGGAAACCAGGTGACCAGTGTGGCCGGAGTGTACTTCACCGACATCCGTGGGGACAGAGGCCAGTTCAAGGTCTCTAAGAAGGTGCCTAAGATCCCACTTGAGGTCAGGTGAGTAACGAGTCCTTACGGGGAACCTTCCCCAAAGGCCCTACTGTATCTAGGACTAACCTTCCAGTTCCCCTTTACCACAGTTTCTCCATTTATTCCCTAAAGATCGATGACTTTATTCCCTAAAGTCGGTACGTTTCCCGCCTGTGTGCTTGCGAGTGCCTGTCTTGCCAACCAGAATAATAAGCTCCATGAATGCAATGATCTTGCCCATGACATATGCTGCTTTATTCTCAGGGCCTGGTGTGTGCAAGGGAGCAACATATATTTGTAGACGATAGAAATTAACGAGTAAATAAATGAATGGCTACTCATCCAAAACCATAACAAGAGAAACGTAGCCCGGTGCACTGATGTTAGCACCGCAGACAGCTTCATGTCACGGAATATACTGCCGGGGGAGCTGAGTCTCAGAGGCTTCCAGCCTCAGCCAAAGCCAGCCGTAGCTGACCAGCGAGGTCAGCTATAAAGCCTAAGAAGGCCCTTACGTTGAGCCCAAGCCCTCAGCTCAGACTCCTGTCTTCTTCATGGTACTTCCCCTCTGAGGTTTTCAGTGAACTTTCCTGCCAGCAAATCTCGGTCAGGGCCCTCCAGGACTAACCTAGCAGGTTTGCTAACTTCAAAATCTGCTGAAGGCTCTGGAGCTCATTCAGGGAGTCTCGAGGTCTGCCCAGGGGAGGGGCCGGCTCTAAAAGCCAACAAAAGATTCTCTCACTCACGTCCCATCCCCAAGGGCAAGAGCTGACTGCTGCCTGGTTCATCAGCCTAAAGAGGACACTGCAGTTACTTTTATATGCAAAATAGGATCCAGAGTCACTTGCTGCTGTAATACTGAGAGACACTGAAGAGTCTGGGGAAAACCTTAATCTCATTACCCTTCACCTACAAGGTCTAGAACGGATTAGGAGCTGCTGGAATGGAAGTGCACACACAGTCTAGTCGCTTAGGTTCCTGCATCCCATGGACATTACACGTTACCCCGTTTGCTCTTCGCCACGGTCCCGTAGCGTGCAAGGCCTTTGTCTAAGGACTCCCAGCTCGTAAGCAGCACCAGTTCGTTTTCATATTCAAGATCCATAAATGAAGAGAGTTTCTAGTTAAAGACTGTGTGAAATGAGGCTAGATCCTGGAATTGCCCTCTCCACCAAATCTGACCAGATGAATGAAAAATAATAAGTCAGCAGCTGAACTTGGGGGTTTTGATGCCGATGCCTAAATTGCTAAGCATTGGCCAGTGAGAGAGACAGGTAGCTGATGGGTGGTCCAGCATCTCCTGACACCACCCCCACTCCAGATGCACAACTGAAAGAAAAGACTTAAAGCCACGAATCCAAGAATGGTCATTAATACCTTCTCGTGTCCTAGAAGAATGAACAAATTGGGTGAGTGGACATTTAAGATAAAACAACCCTCACGTGTAAAAGCAGCAAAGCTACTTCAAGATTCGGTGAGGCAGAAAGGGATGCTGTGTTTGTCCTCTTCCATCCCCACTTGGGTGGACTAAGCCTAGCTCGAAGTCCCCAAAATGTGGAGAGACCGGCCACCAGCGAGGACGATACTAGGCCCCAGCTGGTCATTGACCTTCAGTTAGTGCTGTAAATCTCAGGTGATAAGAAGCTGGAAAGAAGCGACATACGGTATAATTTGAGGAGGTAGATGGATGCGTTTGTGTAGAACAAACTGGTGCCCGAGAAAAGAACACCACAGAGAATTCACCCACGCTATCTCAGGACACGGACTCCATCTGCGCACGCCAGTTGTGGGGAAAAAATAAATAACTACATACTAATGCTACAAGAGACTTAAAAGAGAAATATAAGAGAGACAGGAAGGGCAAGAGGATCAGTCACACCAGGAAGAAAAAGGTGACCCAGTGAACAGAAGCAGATTTTCTGAGAATGCTTCGAGCTACAAAAGGACTTTCCGGAAGTATATTTTAAATAAAACGAGACAGATGAGATGAAAAAGGGCATTTCAGAGTGAAGAAAAACAAATTAAGAACGAAACACCTCAGGTAAAATAAGTCAGTTCGCCAGCCCAAGGACGAGGCCAACATACGGTGGAAATGACGACGGCTCACTTCGCAGTGCACTTTCTGATCGCCGGCGTCATCGCCATGACAGTTTTTTAAGCGGCATTCAGAAGGCCATCGCCCGTATCACCTGTCTGCTCAGGTGTGATTTGATCTGTTACCTAAACATCGCCACCTCTCCCTTCATTTCTCCCTCAGTGGCTTCGGCCCTTTCGGCTCTGAGGGAACGTGTGTCTTCTTTCTTTTTCATAAATGCGGTATTATTATTCACATCTTCACATCTTTTTGAAGGCTCTTTTGCACAAAATGTAACTGTCGATTGCCAAATACCCAGCCGTGGGCTTCATGCAAAGACTCAGCAATTGGTGAGAGATTTCTGGTGTGTGGACCAAACTGGCTGTGGATGCCAACCACCCCAGATTTGCTTCCTGTCACCGCCAGTTCTCAGCTAAGAAACATAGACAAACTGCCCAAGGAGTCTAAGTCTCATTTATAAAGCAAGAATAAGAACTTGCAGGTTTATTATGTTGATTAAAAGAGAGAATCCCTATGTGTAAGCGCCTAGCATACTTTAAACCTCCTTAAATAATAGCCGCTTTCATTAAGTCAGTATCCAGACTTAACTATTATAAGTAGATATTGTATAAGACTTAAATATTGGTAAATAGATATCTGAGGTCATGAATATTACCCTTATAATATTGTCAAGCCATCTGTTGAGAGTTACCTGGCTTCCCCATCACGCCTCGGGCCTCCCGCCCCACTCAGCTGCAGTCACACAGGCCTTTCTGTGCTGCAGACTCTACTAGGCTTGTCCCTTCTGGGGGCCTTTGCACTGGCAGTTTCTTTGACCTGAACTTGTCCTTTCTCAGATATCTGCCTGGCTGATTTGACTCATCTTCTACAACTCTTGGCTCAAATGTTGCTTCATGTGCAGCCTATCCTGACCACCTCGTTTAAAATTTCAGAAACGTGCCAGGCACTGTCCTAAGCATTTAACATAGAACGGGTTACTGAGTACCGGCAACACTGAGAAGGCAGGTCCTTTTATCAGACGAGGACACTGCAATGCAGCTCAGACGGCTGCCCTCATTTGAGACATGCTAACTATACCGACTACATCCTTGAAGGCCCCTCCTTTCTATGGTATGCCTTACTGTCTCTGGATGCTGTCTCCCCACCGGGCACAGTACTAGGGTACTGTTGGAACCAGAGACATACGAGATGTGGTCCCACCCCTGAGTAACTTTCCGACTCAGTGTCAGTGTTTTTAAAAGTTAAGTCCAAGAATGTTAGGATATCTCCAGATCAATTTGACCTATCACCTACACTGAAAGTGTTCGATGAGGATCAATTTTCAGAATTGTGATTATATTAGCTTCCCAGGGCTGATGTAACCAAGTGCCACAAACTTGGTAGATTAAGCAACAGAAATGCATCATTTCACAGTCGGAGGCTAGGAATCTGAGGTCCAGGCATTGGCAGAGTTGGTTCCTTCTGAGCTGTCGGGGAGACCATGCTCCACCCAGGCCTCTCCCCCAGCTTCTGGTGGGTGGCCGGCAATCTTCGGCGTTCCTTGGCCTGTGGAAGCATCCCCCTGATCCCCGCCTTCACGTTAACGTGGCATTCTCCCGGTGTGCTTGTTTGTGTCCAAATTTCTCCTTTATATAAGGACACCCTACTCCAGTATGATCTCACCCTAACTTAGCTAATTACACATGCAATCGTCTTATTTCCAGATAAGGTCACATGCTGAAGTGCTGGGGGTTAGGACTTCAACACAGGAATTTTGGAGGGACACAATGCAACCTGTAACAGCGACCTTTAGACATGAAAGTCCCTGTTTACCAGAAATAAAGTCCTATTTATCAAATCAATATTCTGTGTGTATTTATGTATTTTAAATAATCACTAATATATGTCGAAGACTCACTATGTATCGAGCACTGTATTTGCCAACTTACAAGTGTTATCTTTACTTAATATTCCCAGAAGCACATGAGCAAATGGCAGCTTTGAGAGGAGAAGTAAATGTCACAGGATTGTCAGGCTTCTGTGCCAACCAAGTAAGCAGGAGCATATGCTAACTGGTCAGAACCAGAGCCCACGAGTGACCTGCTCAACTGGATAGCAGCATTTAGAAATTTTTATAAGCACATTGAGTGTGAACCATCAGGTCACCAATTTCACTGATGGCAGCTCCCCATATTAAGGGTTTTCTATTCTTAGCTGAAGCTTTTTGAGGTGCCCATCAGAAGATTCTGGAAGAACACTTAAGAGTGGAAGCCAAGTCTGCAAGCAAGTCTTGTACCTTGGCGTCATTATTCCTCAAAATAAGTCTTGAGTCTCTACAGGTAGAAAAAACTGTGGGCAAAACTGATGCCTGAACCCGTGTGACATTCGCTGGGTTAGTTTGAAAGTGAGATGACAGTACTAAGACATGATATGTCCTCATTTTCATGCTGAAGAGGAATTGTGGAGGAATCGTAAAAGTGATAATTTTTTCAATAACGTTTTGCTACTTGAATGAGTAAACTTTTTTAACATTTGATATTTATTATGAGACAAAGTCTTATAAAGATAATTCAGATCACCTATAATTTCACTAGTCAAGATGATCACTAATGACATTTTGATAAATATGCTTTAAATCATGTTTCTTTGTCTGGTTTTGTGGGGAGGGGGTTTGTTTTGTTTCGGTTTTGATGTTCGTTTTGCAAAATTTGACTTATTTAGTGCACAGTATCTTGGAATCTGATTTAAAAAGTTTTTCCATTATCTAATAATTGTTTTGATTACCACATGGTATGCTATCTATGGTTAACCATAACTTATTTCACCAATTTCTTGTTGTTTGACTTTAGAATATCTACAAATTGGTTTTAAAAAAAAAAAGAAAAGAAAAGAAAAATCCTAGAATACAAAACCTTTTCCGAATTCACTACATTTTTACCATTTCTCACAAATTTAGGTGGGAATGTTTTTAAAAAGAGTGTTTGTTTGTAATAAACCTTCAAGTGCAGTAGTAAACAATTTCCTTATAACATGTTTTTAGATCAGAGCTAGCACAAGGTGAGGACAATTTGATGTTTTTCACAGACCTCCTGTGCAGAAAAATCAGCTCTGAGAAATGTATATTACTTTCTCTAGTAATAAAACACTATTTTTTTCTCATTTAATTCAGTTATATGTTTAATCATTTAAAAAGATAGGACATTCAAGTCAGATAATTCAATACTCAATGGACTCACATGAGAAGAATTCCTAGAAGTGTTCATTTGGAGAATGAATTTTAAGACGTGCAAAGAACAAGGCCGCTACTTCATTCTTCAGCATTTCCTCAAATCTATGATAACATGGATTATAAGAAACTCCATTATTTTATGTGTCACTAAGAAAGAGCAGACGGTGCCAATTAAACAATGATATGACATCAAGTGTTAAAAGGTGAAAAAAACAGGTCTTAGACATGATGAAATAAACGGTGTCGCACACTAAAATCCTCGATGGTGTCAGTAACAGTGAGGAAATTTGTGTGGCCAGTGTAATCTTTGTACCTATACGTAGATTTCTCTATTCAGTGAGCTCATTTCAGGGGTTCCTTAACTGACTGTAACCCCTTTGTCCCCCATGTCACTTTCCAGGTGTGGGGAGGACCTCAGGCAGGACCTGCACCAGCTCCTGGAAGGGATCTCAGAGCTGGACATCAAGACGGGAGGAATCCCCTCGCAGCTGCTGGTGCACGGGGCCCTGGCCTTCCCTCTGGGGTTAGATGCCTCCCTCGGCTGCTTCCTGGCCGCTGCCCGCTACGGCAGGGGCCGGGTGGTCCTGGCTGCCCACGAAGGCATGCTCTGTGCTCCCAAGATGACGCCCTTTTTGCTCAATGCTGTGCGCTGGCTGGCCAGAGGCGAGGCGGGCAAAGTTGGGGTGAACACACGTCTGAAAAACCTGTGTGCCCTACTGTCGGAGCATGGCCTGGAGTGCAGTCTGGAGCCCCATCTGACAGGTGGCTTGCATGTCTACTGCTGTGTGGCTTACAGTGACAAGGAGGCTAAGCAGCTGCAGGAGTTTGTCGCCGAGGGAGGAGGCTTGCTGATCGGGGGCCAGGCCTGGTGGTGGGCCTCCCAGAACCCGGGCCGCTCCACATTGGCTGGTTTCCCCGGAAACGTCATCCTCAACTGCTTTGGCCTCAGCATCCTATCTGGGACTGTTAACCCAGGCCAGTTCCCCGTCCCCACCCCCCAGATGCTGAGCTACCACTTCCGGCGGGCGCTGTCGGAATTCCAGGCTGTCCTGAACCAGGACCATGGGGACTTGGAAAAGAGCTGGCTGGCAAAACTGGGAGTCGATGGCGCCGCCTTCCTGCAGATTCCTGCAGAGGGGGTCCCAGTCTACACATCCTTGCACCGACTCCTGAGGAAAATGCTGCGGTCGACCGGCCTCCCGGCGGTGAGCCGAGAAAACCCAGTGGCCCGTGACTCCTGTGAGGCTGCCGTGCTCTGCCTGGCCACGGAGCTGGCACGCTCTGGGACTGACTGCTCCCAGCTGGTGCAGGGACTTGGAACCTGGACCTGCCACTCCAGTCTGGACCCCTCCGAACACCCCATCACTGTGGAGATCAATGGAAGCAACCCAGGTATGGAGTGAGGGGAGCGCCTAGAGCATTGTGGGAGCTGGGAAGCTGGGGCCGTGGGCCTCGTGGGCAGTGCAGGTCCTGGAGCTCAGGCAGGCCGGCTCCATTCTCTCAGGTACTTTCAGGAAGATGGGTTGGGGTTCTGCTCGGGGTTTAGAAGGGAGGAGAAGCAGGGATGCGGTGAGGCAGGCAGGGGAGGGCTGCACCTCTGGGAGGGGCTGGGAGGCCCCAGATCCCGGGAGAACTCAGCCTTTCCTATGGCTTTTGTCAGGCAATGGGGAGTCCTGGGTGAGTACTGGGCTCTACCTCTTGAACGGACAGAATGCAGAAGTCTCGCTGTCTGAAGCTGCAACCCATGCTGGCCTGAAGGTAAGGCCAGAGCACCCGCCGCCCACATCTCGAAACCTCAGGGCTGCTGCGCTCATCCAGCTCACGGCGGTGCCACCAGCAGCACAGGACGGGCGTAAAAAAAAATGCTGCTGGTGGCACCGCCGTGAGCTGGATGAGCGCAGATGTCACAGGCGAAGCGGCTAAATTTCAGGGGGTCTAAGGGAGTGGGGGACGATGCCGGAGCTCTGTTCCCAGCTCTAGTAATCAGACCTAAGCCTATGCCGCAAGGTGCTTTTTGCCTCGCGAAGGGACGGATAGACACGAGGTGCGAGGAGAAGGAAGGCCGCGGCATCCTCACGGCCTCGCCCGGCTCCCCGCGGCGCAGCCCTTCTGGACTTTAACCTCTTTACCTTGACATCTGCAGGGCATACTTAATCCCAGCCCTCAGGAAAATAGGCCCTACATGCAGAACGGAACATTAAACCTAAGAAAATCAAGCCCAGGACTCCAAACACCACAGCACTCAGCCCACCTGACCAGGAGGAAGTCCTAGGCACAGGGGAGAGAGACTCAGTTGCCCCTGGGGCCAGATGCCACCACCTCCAGGGGGGCCTCCTGTCTGAGCAGGAAGGGAATGCGCACACTGGCTCCGTTCTACGTGCCTTTCAGTCCATACGGCTTTTGCAACGCTACCGTTTCATAGGTGTCCGTGCATCGCTCATAGAAAGGGGAAGCTGGAGTTTTTCTAACACCCCCCATCTGCACAGCACCACACGCAACCCACACACACAGCACAGGGACCTAGTTCCCCCGACACAGGCGGCATCACCTTCCCAGGTCCAGATTGGCTGCCACACCGATGACTTGAGCAAGGCCAGCAAACTGTCTCGAGCCCCCGTGGTGACTCATCGGTGCTGTATGGACAGGACCAAACAGTCGGTCTCCTGTCTCTGGGGTGGCCTTCTCTATGTCATCGTGCCCAAGGGCAGTGAACTGGGCCCCGTGCCCGTCACCATCAAGAGGGCTGTGCCCGCCCCGTACTACAAGCTGGGTAAGTGGACTGAACGTCGAGGGGAGCGCGAGTGCTGCAGGTACCACAGTCGTTAGGGGCTGGTTGCTAAGGGGAGCAGGATAAGGATGGGTGGACAGATGGAGGGACAACCATTCGAGGTGATGGTGGAGGAGGCAGGAGAAATGGCCCACGCATGTCTGCAGAGACTCCGAGGCAGGACCGAGGGGAGGGTCTGGAGGCCTGTCCTTCACTTCATAGCATGGACACCCACATGATAATAGTTCATCACTGCCGTGCCCTCCCGAAATGAGTTCAAGCTGTGTTTTTCAGCTCAAGCAGAGTTAGGGAAGTGGGCGACAGGCTGCATGATATTTATTCCCAGGTAAGACATCCCTGCAGGAGTGGAGGAGTCGTATCCAGGAGAACCTTGCTCCCTGGGGCGAGCTGGCCACAGACAACATCATCTTGACAGTGCCAACCGCAAACCTCCGGGCCCTGGAGGACCCTGGGCCCGTGCTCCGCTTCTGGGACGAGATGATGCGGGCGATAGCCAAGCTGGCGGCCAAGCCTTTCCCGTTCCTGCGTCCCGAGAGGATTGTCGCTGACGTGCAGATCTCAGCTGGTGGGTGCTCTAGGGAAGGGTGCCGGTCAGTGGACGCCACCTGTCTATTATTTCGCCTTTGGTCAGTGTCCAGTATGTACAGGGTGTGATTGCACGTGGAGTGAGGGTAAAAAGATGGAAGAGACGTGAACCTTGATGGGATGCAAAGATGTTCACCTAGGAAACATTTGTGAGCTGAGATGTCACAGGATTGGTAGAACAGTTTCAGGGGGGAAAAAAGGTACCAGGAGTTCACAGGTGACAATGAGGTTCATTTCAAGAAGAGGCTAATATAGAAATATTTCCTTCGAACGTAAGACAGAGCTGGCAATGGAAATAGGGGGTGAAGAGGTTTATGTTAAGTCTTGAGTGGTTTAGAGCAGGGGTCCTCAATCCCTGGGCCACGGACTGGTACCAGTCTGTGGCCTGTTAGGAACCGGGTCGCATAGCAGGAGGCGAGTGGCAGGCAAGCGAGCGAAGCTTCATCTGTGTCTGCAGCCGCTCCCCAATGCTAGCATCACCGCCTCAGCTCCCCGTCAGGTCATCAAGCATTAGATTCTCATAGGAACACCGGTCTCTGGTACCACAAAGGTTGGGGACCACTGGTTTAGAGGAAAGAAGGGCATCTAAGGAAAAATGAGGAAATCTAATTCCAACATGGAGAAAATTCCTATGCACCTCAGTTTTCTTATTTTTATAAGACAGAATTCTCTCTGTTAAAGAGCATAAAACTGGACAATAGCGATTCATATAGGAAAAGAAGGGATGACACTGTTCTAGCCTCAGGGACCTCCAGTTCAGACACAGGACGTAATGTCACAGGCTCACATGCATGTGAGACTCACACACACACCGACAAAGCCCCGAACTGTGGCGAGAATGGCAGTGTGAAGTGTATTCTCACTCTTCAGGGTCAGAGTGAGTAGGGCTCACTCCGGTGAGAGTGGCTGGGGTCAAGGACTCCTCCCTTTCTGACCAAGTGAGGAAAAGCCACCGACTCTCATCAGCACAAAGACTCTGGAATCACTCGGGGTCAGACAGGATGGTGAGGAAAAGTCACGCGGCAGAGAGGGATGATGGGAGGCGGGTTTGGGTGCTCTCCCCCACCGTGCGTCACCTCTTCCTGTTGGGTTCCCAGGCTGGATGCACTCAGGGTACCCCATCATGTGCCACCTGGAGTCGGCACAGGAGCTCATCAGTGAGGCCACCATGAGAAGCAGCGGTCTGTGGGGACCCATCCACGAGCTGGGCCACAACCAGCAGCAGTGCGGGTGGGAGTTCCCGCCACACACCACCGAAGCCACTTGCAACCTCTGGTCAGTCTACGTGCATGAGACGATCCTGGGCATCCCCAGGGCTCAGGCCCACGCTGCTCTGAGCCCCACACAACGAGAGGAGAGGATCAAAGAGCACCTGGGGAAGGGGGCCCCCCTGAGCAACTGGAACGTGTGGACAGCTCTGGAAACGTATCTGCAGGTACTGAGCCAAAAGTCAGGGAGATGGGGCCACCAGACTCCCCGCCATGTAGCATCCTGGGTCCCGCCACCCCCCTGGACATGGGAGACGGGGCCACATGGTGGTGCTTCTCGGGTTACACATCGCTCAGTCGGAGAGCATGGTACCTGTCCCACGTGCCTCCTGTGATTTTGTGATGATTAAGGAAGAGGAAATGGGAAGCAGTATATAAAAAATAATAATAATAAGTAGAGTTCTCCCATTCCCTGGTCCTTGGTCTCCTCATAAGTGCTCCAGAAATGGTCATAGTTCTGTTTTGCTTTGTTTTTGCTCATCTTAGTTTTATGGGTCGAGTGTTACATCCCTTCATAATAACAGACGTGTCTACAGCACTAAAAGGAGGCATGGTTGGAGATCCACCTGTTCACCATACTCTCAGCCTTCTATCACCCCACGTGAACCCAAAATGATCTTAGAACGAAAAAATAAATAACCGACCAACCCAGTGGGAGAAAGCCCTGAACCAGGTCGACTTCCTGTGAAATAAGCACAAGTCCCTGTCCCCTCCCCCAATCCTGCTTTGAATTGTAGTGTTTTGGAGATGTCAAAGCTGTTCTCCACATCAGACCTCCGACGCTGTCCACCTCGGCCCTACGGCTAGGAGCCGGATGGCCCACTTTCTCAGAGACGCATACTAAGTTAAGGAGTTTACGCAGCCCGTCGATACCACACTTAAAGGGTGGACCCAGAACCTAAAATCAGGAATCAATGGCGAGCTACAGGCTTCGGCACTTCCATATGCTTTCTTTGATCTGTGTTTCTTTCACGCATTTTCTAAAGAGTGAATGCCGGTGAGAGAACTGCACCGCATCCCTTCTGGATTCTTACACGGCCAGTCCGAGGGTCCACAAGCAAACAGACCTTAAAGGGCAGGTTGCCACTGAAGTAGAAGTTAGAGCCCTAAGTCTGCCCACGCCCCCCACATCCCCTCACCGCAGAGCCCTGAATATCATTTTGCAAAAGCTACCGAGACGCCTGTCACCTGGGAGTCTGAACCTCAGCCTCAGGGCAGGCAGATCCCTGCTCCCGCTCACTCCTCCTGCTGTGACCTTAGCTCAGGAAGCCGCCTAAATCGTTCCAGCATCTTGCCCGGAGCCCTACACCCGTCTTCCACACCGCTTCCAAAACAGTCTTCACATTCCCGGTTTAACACCCTCCGAGCGCTCTCCCTTCCACACGGGACAAAGTCACAGCTGCTGGCAGGGCGTCGAAGGCCCTTTGCGGTCAGGCTTTTCCAGCACCCCCAGCTCCACCTCCCAGCGTCCTCGCCTCCATCCTTATCCTCCAGCACACGGTGCTGCTTCCCGCTGTGAGCACTCCTTGCCATTCCAAGCCCCGTGCCTCCCCACGCTTCCTTCCTGCGGCCGAAATGAGCTTGACCATCTTGTCTATTCTCTATTAAGTCACCTGTCGAGATTGAGCTCTGTCGCCCGCCCATACCAGCCCGAATATGTACGATGGAAAGGTGTCTCATCTCACTCATGCTCAAACCTATCCGATGTCTAGGGAACATTTTTTTTTTTTTAATTAAAGATAATAATAATAGCTGTCATTTATTGAGGATTTACCTTTTTTCAGATATTAGATTCCCATGAAGTCTCCTACCAGATCCAGATGGTACAGGTTTTGTGGCCAAGAAGTAGAACGAACCAATAGCACTGTACTGATGCGCAGGGGCCACGTGGGGGGACAGGGGCAGATAACACTGAAGCGCATGAGCAAAGGGCAGTAATTGCTGAAAACGAAGTATTCGTAAGACCACGTATGTTGCAGTTACTTTGACAGGCTTGACTCCTCCTTTCCCTTCTTCCTCTCCCCAGCTCCAGGAGGCCTTTGGGTGGGAGCCGTTCACCCAGCTCTTTGCTGAGTACCAGACCCTCTCCGGCATCCCCAAAGACAACACCAGCAAGATGAATCTGTGGGTGAAGAAGTTTTCCGAAAGAGTGCAGAAGAATCTGGCTCCTTTCTTCAAGGCCTGGGGCTGGCCCGTCCAGAAGGAAGTGGCTGACAGTCTGGCCTGTCTGCCTCAGTGGCAGGAAAACCCCATGCGGGTTCACGTCCACACCGAGGGGTAACGTGGGAGGAGAGGAAGGGGCGCGCCAGCTCCACCGCCCGTGTGTCTGGCCGTGTGTCTGGCCGCGTGGACCTTGAGCCTGCATCCTGCATCCTCCCCTGTCTTCAAGATTAAAAGAAACTTACTTTCTCAGGAAAAGTCCCTGGCACCTCCTTGTGATGTTTCTCTGCTCAGGCTGTTGCTCCCACTTGCTTCGCCATCCTAGTCGGCTGGGGCAAGATTTTTCATCTCGGCATCTTGAGGTTCTGCAGGCTCTTGACTTCTGTTTCTGACCAATGGTTCTGAAGACCGTGGGTCACCGCAGTGATCTGCTACCATCCCCTCACCACCGCCAGCCTGGAACATGGCTCTTCATTTCTTATGCTTTGAGAAGTTTTCTAGTTGCAGGAGGGACAGGCTGGTGCCGTGCAGAGAACCCTGCGCCAGCTTTGGTACCATGGGAAAGTCACTTAGCATCTCTGTGCTTCTGCATTCGCATCCGTGACATGGGGAGAGAACTTCATTTCTTGATAATGGTGAACGTGCTCATGCACCACAGCAGGCAAGGGGATCTTCAAGCCTTCACCAGGTCCTGTAGTGGCCTGTCTGTCCAGTTTTGTTTTTTGTTTTTTTGGACAGCCTGAAAATTGAATCTCACTTCAGAGTTGGCCACCTTGAGATGAGCCCTTAGTCCTCATGAAAGAGCATTTAAGGGATACCAGTGTCATTCCCAGACGTGGTATTGTAGTGGATGCTGAGGGCTTAGCCCATCCTAGATCCTTTTCCTGCCTCTGGAAGGATTCTCGGGTAAAACCTAAGGAGTGATGTAAACTCAAACTGGGTGTTACAAAGCTGGCAGGGTTTGGTCTTCTTGGTTAGTTCCATCTTCTAGGACTTTTATTTCAACCACAGGGAAAAGTCCCTTTAGCAGCCTCTACCAAGTCCATAAGCCTTGGTTCTTAGCACAAAACAGGCCGATGACTCCTCTGGTCACCATGGAATCAAGGCAGTCATTTGACAGCGGCTGTGCAGAGAGGTGCGTGGACGTGACAGGCTTCGCCCCAGAGCAGGATTACTGGATGCGGCACACCAAATTAACCCGCAACCACCTAATTAACCCATAACCCAGCATTTCCTGATCTTTCGCATAACCTCATTCCAGCCTCTCCCAGCTCTTTAGCTAGGTGGGGTTAAAATTGGAGACCTGGCTCTGGGATTAATGGGGTGTACACCGAGCTGCTTTTCTCTAGCTTCCTTTTAAACCGCATTCTTTTGAGGTTTCGAATATTATTCCACGAGCTTTGCTGAGAGCAGAGTGTCTCCTCAGAAGGAACGTCTGCTTCTGCGTTCACCAGCACGTCCCTCAATTCTAGAATAACTTCCTTTTATTCCACTGGTGTCCTTTGCCAGGTGCCGTTTATATAAAAAGGTGCTCAGGAAATATGTGTTGATTGAAAGAACAGTAATGACACCAGACATATAAGGAGCAGTCACTCTGTCCCAGGCATTGTGCGAGGTACTTTCTATGCATTGCAGAACCTTTGCCGCAGATCTGTGATTTAGGTACTTTTATGATTCCCACTTCACGGATGAGAAAACGGACACTAAGAAATAGGAAATAACTTCTGATGTCACAAAGCTAAGCGTCAGGGCTTGACTGAAGCCCAGAGCAATGAAAAAATGTGGAGCTTATCCTCCGTGAATGAGTTACAATTTAAACAAAAATTCACCCAGAAAACGGATGAAAGGAAGTTCAACGAAGTTCTGAGTTATCCCACGTTTGCTATTGAAGTTTTATTAAGTATCAAATTTAACCTCCAAAAAAGTATTGCTATCCGATTTTCTCATTGTCTCAGCATGTCATTCATTAGCCTCCCGGTTAGGCAGAGAAAGGATTCGAACCCAGCAGTTCTACCCTAGGACCGAGTATCCTTAACAACAAGAACGCCATGGTCTTAGTTTGGGGTAAATGAATGGATAATGCTGGGTGTGGTAAGTGGTCACAGAGACAAAGACAAAACCTGACTTCTCAGGGAACAAAAAGTTGAGTGGGTGGCACCACAGACAGGTGGAAAAAAAGAAACTCTCACCTTAGGAAGCAACCAGGAGCCCAGTCTGAGAGCAGAGCCACCTAGTTACTACTGCAAGTGTCATACTACCTCACATCGAGGGGACAGCACTTAAAGCCACCTTAGATGGAGCAGTGTAATAGCCATTTCCATCTTAGACTTCAGTAAGGACCCTACTTAAAAAAAAATTATTTTCACTAGCCTTTTAACAAACTTATAAAAAGCTGCTTCAATTTATTATCCTTTCATGATACTGAGGATTACAGGTAAGAGGGAGAATTAGACAAACCAAGAAGCCACCACCCCGCTGCTGCTTTCCCGTTGCTGGTCCCTTAACAGCCCAAAGGCAGCTCTCGGGTGGTGAGATCACAAAACCGCGGCACATTTGGAAATTCAGACCCAGCACAATTGGCCTAAGGAAAATGAAGCTATACGAGGACTCTCACAACGATTAAAAACTAACCGCAGCAC